TTATGTGGTATAGCAATTAAAATTTCGAACACTAGCTTGGCACGGATCTATTGTCTTAGTTACAAGACCACTGCTAAACATAGGCCTTCACTACTAACTACCTGAAGACTGCCACAAAACACGGATCTGATCCACGTGCGTCCATCAACTTCTTTCATGTTTTTCCAGTTACCAGGTTATCATTTCATCTAGTGGGAGGCTGCCCTATATTTCATGGTCCTTTTTTCTTTTTCGCCCTTTTTTCTTTCTTAGCTCGCTGAGCGAAAGCATCCTCATACACGCAGCTTTGACATAACCGGTCCAGGTTCCATTATATAATACTTATTTAAAACGTAAAAAGTAACCAATTCCATCATACGATATTAAGTAAAAAATGTTTATTATACAAGTTTAAGGGAAACACCGGAAATATCCCCTATGCGGTAATCTACGGGGAAACCTTTGTTCAGCAGTGGACTTTTGATAGGCTGTAGCTGTAGCGGTAATACAAGTTTTATTATCCTTAATTTTAACCTTATTATATGACTAAATGTATTATTTTTTATAACTAAGGAACATTAGGTAGTCTTCAAACATGTTGCCTAATCCCAAAAAAATTTACCGATTTCATTAGTGAACAATAATATCAAATGTACTAAACAGCTTTACCATGGCAGTATCTTTCGTGGTATAACCAGAAACAACAAATTCAAGTTCAAGGTTGACCTACGAGTATATACGCACTTAGAGAAATAACAGAATAATTACTTGGCCTTTGTCAAATGGTTATAAGTAACCATCTTATAGAGACTAATCTAAAATACTAAGTTCATGGACGGAAATCAGTCTTGACAGCTATAGCTATATAAAAAATTATAGCAAAATATTACCTAAAATATTGTTAACTGATGATGATTTTCACACACACACACACGCAAATGAAAAAATGCAAGCGCGCTCTCGCACACGTGCGCACGCATATTAACGCACACACGCACGCACACAGCCCCACAAATGCACATAGCTAAGGTTAATGCAGCAATATGAAGGAAATGGTGAGTCAGTATCCAGTAAGTGTCGGAAATACAAATTTAACAGTCTTAGAATTCAAACTCCCGACCCATGAACCGTGACTCAACCGCAGTAAGCAGTACTGTTTACTGCGCCACCGTATGTCTGTGATACGTTTATGGGATACATACATATATTATTTGTTTTAGTCTGAGTTAGGTCTTGCTGTAATAATGTATTGTTTAAGGGTACTTGGGATTCTATTTCCTGTTAGCCTTGATTAATAATATGCTAGTTAATGTGACGTGAGTTATACGCAGCCTAAATATGTTTTAACTTGACGTCATTTGCTTACGCCAAAATTAAATTATAAACAATGATGTGCAAGTCTTCCCAAAGTGAATTTATTATAATGTCCTCCAGACCGAAATTCGGCCATGGCGTCCAGCCTCTACGGAGACTAGCCATCGGTGCAGGACAGGATTATAGTGAACAAGTGTATACGCAGGCACAGGTGCACTCTCTATTCCAACACTCTCATAGTCCGATGAGACGGTAAACGGACACGACCGGAGAGAGATCAGACGCAGGACTAACGGCTTTCCGTGCTTTCCGAGCCACGGGATTGAGACACTGCCAACTTCCTGACTCTGGGCAGCTACTGAAAATTTCTTGATGGAAAAACTCAATAACTGATTTTAGGCACGACCCGGGATTCAAACCCGGGACCTCATGATCAGCAGTCGCACTACTACAACCATTGCACCAACAAGGCATTCAATCAAGGCAGTCAAGGATTTATTATAATTCAACTATTAATAAAAAGCTCAAACCCACTTTGATGCTAAAAAAATGAAATAATACCACAAAATAGCTCCTGAAGTCGATTCTAAGACAAAACTAGTATCTCAGAATCGACTTCAGAAGCCATGTGGAAATATTTTATTATTTTACTTTCTTTTTAATTCTGTTTAGTATTAGAAACTCTGGAGTTTTATCCTGTATCGTAAAGGCGTTTTAGTTACATAATTTGCTCATGGACAATCATTCAGATCCAGAATAATCATTTTGTAGGTAGTACAAACACAAGTGTTTGTACGACCTACAAAATGATTATTCTGTTATTATTCTTCCGTGCAAGATTTGAACCCGTGATCCTGAAGCTCAGCGGCTAAACGTTAGGGTCAGATTCTTAAACGCAACTTGATATCACATTAAAAGTCATCTTCATAAAGTGTGCTACCAATGCCAAAGTTTAACTTTTCTTTTAAATTCCCAGTTCACAATGAATTCTTTGTCTTTGCTCGGTAAAGTACCTATGGATCAAAATAAAGTTTTAGATGAAGGACAGGGGCTGTTAAATACGAATCGCAAAACGCTCTAAACCAGTGGAGTAGCGTTCCTTAGGGGGGCCCAAATGAAGGGTAAAGATTTTTCACAAAAGGAACAAAAACTCTCGCATTGAATTAAAATAATTATATATTGATTATAAGTTATTACTTACAATTAATACTCCTAGGAACTAAGCTAGCCAAACAATTCAAACCCACATCCTGTCCCATAGATGTCCTTAGAATTTTTGCTTACATACGTTCGGGGCCTCTGTAGCCTGGGGGCCCCGTATCATTGATACGGCTGATACGGCGGTAGCTAAAATTAATGTGTCAATTATTGCAGAATTTTATCATATTATTATACTTATTAGAGTTTATTAATGAAAATTAACGCATTTAACAGTGCAATTATTTATAATGAATTTAATAGATTATACAACATGAGATAGGTACTTTGTTGAAGTTATTAAATATTGGGCCCCTCAGAAAGTTTTGCGAAACTAAAAAAATTCTAAAACGTAGAGATTTAAAAAGTAAACGTTGTTGAAGTATCATGTCATGGCACCATTCCACGAGGGCCTGCTTGTATGCTGCTTGATGATTGTATGGCACCCCCACCTATCTCGTGAACGCTTCCTAATCCAATCTATAATCTCTAATCAGTGTCTGTCTGTAACATTGAAATAACTACCTTTTATCGTGTTCAGGGAGTTATTTGCATGTCAAAAGATTGTGTTTATTGTCTGTCCGGGATAACGTACGGAATGGCTGGACCGATGGTGATGAAACTGCGCGAACAGATTTGAAAAGTTTGGAGTATTTTTAGTGTAATCGAAAAATTAATAAAATAAATTTTCATTGATGATTATTTATAAAAAAAATCTAAATGATGACACATTAATAAATCTAGGCGAAGCTGAGACATCTCTTCATACATATTACGCATATTCTTGTCTAGACCTACAGACTAGATCCTTTTTACTGGAATCTAGACATTCCATCCCAATCCTCAGGAGATCGGAATTTTGATTATTTCGATTTCGGTTAATCGAAGGTAGATGGTAGATAGAAGGTAGATGTACATGTCTATGGGCCACAGCATCCACTTACTATTAGGTGGACTGTGTGCCCTTTTATCAGGTTGTCGCATGAAATGCATAGAAAAAAGAAGAATAAACTTTTGTCAATTATTAATTTAGTATATGTTTTTTCAAGTTCATTTGTGACTATGTAAAATTTCGTTTATAAGTAATAAAAATATCATAATTATTTATTCACTTCGTTGGACGTTGTTGAACAAGTAGGTATTGTATTGTTTTATTATTGTGCGGAATTCTATTGAACGCCTATTTGTAAAGTGATCATACGAAACTGGTTCAGAATTGATTAGGCTCATCGGAGCCATTTATAGATAAAGGACTCCAGAGCAACTAAGTGCTTGTTTCCGAATGTGGACTTGTCAAGTTCTCAGACTAGTGTAATAATAGATGTGGCCATTATCACCGACGGGATTATTCTTGCGAATAAGTCTGATATTGCAATAGTGGAATGGGCATAGTCAAGGATATTTTTGTTCGATATTACTATAACATATGATAACCTCGTGAAAGTCGAAACAGATAAGAATACAAAATATCTGGACTTCAAATATAATAACTGACTTAACGTAAATGGGTTTATCTCGGTCAGCCTCTCGGGTCATCTTAGGCGACTGGGACTCCGTGATGGACCGTTCTGGACTCAAAGCCGGTAGGCGGTGCCCCTCCATCCTTGCCGAGAGCTTCCAGCTGGTTGGGTTTTATCTATTTAACTATTTTATTTTATGTATTCTATTATGTAAGTATTTTTTCTATCTTAATTATTTTAAATTACGAGATCCCAACAGACGGGAACAATATAAAAGTAATACCCCTAAAAAGATATGATATTATTAGTAATATAAATTATTAATAAATGTTAAATTATTTAACAGTAATACAATTAAAACAAATAAGTAGCAATTTATTGCCTAGTATTAAACTATCTGATCTCGTGAGTGTAGTGGTGGTTTAATTCGTCTGAGTGGCATACCACAAATGAATGTTATTTCAATCCAAGGTTTTTCAACTTTAACACTTTTCCTACCCAAAAAAGTAAAGTAACGTCGTCACGTTCCAGTACAAGGCACTGTCATTTGTTTCAAAGAGGAAGACAGAAAATATAATAGTCCGTCACGCTGTTCCAGTGTGTGTTGGGGAACTTTACATGACATGGCAATATATTTTATTTCTCAGTCGAACAGGTTCAATCATGATGTTTTCCTTCATCATATAATGAATAATTTCACGGATTAAATTTTAAACGGTATGTTAAGAGGACCACCTAAACATCACGACTCAGTACCCTAAGTGTTGAGATTATGCTAAAGCCTTTATAGGTACTCGGGGGAAGTCCATGTCCAACTAGAGATTAATTTATGATATAAATGGAAATTTTAGAAAAAGTTTGTTTAATACACATTTAAAATTTTTTTTCACTTTCACAAATCATTTAATCCTCGAAAGAAATTGGACATTTTGTATTATAAAATTATAATTACAATAAAAAATGGGTTCATTATTTGGACAATTTATACGCATTTTGTTCTCTGTTACTTATTCAAATATTTCCTTATAACGTATTTATTGTTGTTTTCAGCAACTAAAATAGACTTGAGGTCATCCGGCAAAGCGGTTATTACAACGCAAGAAGGAAAAAAATTAAAGAGGAAAATACGGTGAGTTTTACGCGTTCATTAAAATAAGGCATTTTTATACAATATTAAATATACTGATTTAATTTACTCACCCATCAAAGGAAATCAAATGTAAGATTTAATTTTTAATATCCACCATTAAGCACAACATTAGGACTTCGATGACGCTGGAACGTAATTTAGTTAGTTGTCATTTCAAGTGCTGATGCCACGTAGTGAATGCTCAAGGTAAACATCGTGTGAAATCTAGCATATCTAAGAAATAGATTATCGATGACGTGTGAAGTTAGCATACCTTGTTTTTAAACTTTCTTGGGCATAAGAAAACGCCTGTGCCAAGCTGTTGGACATATTTAATCTGTTCCTTTAGTTTTTTTACATTTATTCCAGTAATAGTGAGTGGCTAGTTTGACTCATATACAGGGATACATGCAATCGACTGCAAACAAAACCATTAACAAATACAAACGCTTTGCCAGTTGTCACCCTTAAGGACTAAGATAAAATAATTTGGGATAAGTTTATTCACTATGCTCGTGTTAAACTTGTTTGTATAATAAATTTGTGGATAAATAAATAATCTATGGTGCAAGTAAAATGAAGAGCAACGCGAACTGTCGCGGACGGGCACTGGCAGTGTGTTATCATGTAGGTAGTATTATCAGCAGCTGATAACACCAGTATGTTATAGAACTGCAGAAACATCATTATTCGTTAAATCACATAAAATTACATGTAAATAATAAGCGAAATATCTTGAATAAATACTTATTGAACGATTTTTGAACGTTTGTTAACGTGCCTTGTTCATTTTCGAGATCAACATTATCGTCATTAGAAGTCCATTGTTAAACACAGGTCCCCCCAAGGAATGTCACTTGACTTTCTGCATATTTATTCTAGATCTAGGGTGATAAACGAGCATTTCGAGTTCACCAGATGATATGTGGATTCTGTGAATCATAGACACCTACATCTATCCTCGATTAAGCATTAAAATGTAGATGCGTTGCCCACTAGTTTTTGTACGTGGTAGAGCCATGCTGCAGCTATATTAGTAGTATAGTTGTAGCACGGATGGGTCGGCTCGATCGGGACAGGACCACGCTCTCACAGATTACCAGCGTCAAATAGCAGCTTAACACTGCTGTGTTTCGTATGGTGAGCGTAGAGAACCGGAGACCCTTTTTATGGGAAAAGAGGCATTCCATCTTAGTCCTCACGGGTGACAACGCATCTGCATTTTGATTCACAAACGAGGTTAGATTTAGATGTCTATGGGCCACAGCAACCACTTATCATCAGGTAGACTGTGTGCTCGTTTGTTACCCTTATCCTATAAAAAAAAAACTAAGATATAATGCCAAAAAATACAAAATGCAGATGCGGTACCACCCCTGGGGTCCGAAATAGAATGCTTCGTTACCAGTAAAAACGGTCTCCGGTTTTCTACACTTAAACTCAATAAATATCAATTATATTATTTTGTGCTTTTATCTGTGGGAGCGTGGTCCTTCACCGGTCGAGCCGACCAATTCCTGCTGCAACCATAATATAGTTGCAGCGTGGTTTTATTATTTATTAGTATTACCACGTTAAATTATATCTTAACAGGATGTCACTCCGTCTGGTAGGGACTGTCTTTTTTAGTATTTGTTACACATAATATGCTTTTACTCTGCTTACTGTACGAGCACTCGAGAACCTTTCTTCCCACAAGCCCATTGCCAATTCAACTTGCTCATCCGTTAGCCTATATCGGTCCTATTTCTACTGCCAATGTCTTCGTTTCGTATTCTATCACGCAAAGTAACCAAAAAGTATAGTAACTGTCCTATACAGGAACGTAGTAACGCTCAACTCCCTCTCTATAGCTGAGCGGCTTTAAACATTATTATATGGCGATCAGTGGAGGACAAAGTCTCAGTTCTACAAATATATGTATAATAATATCATATAATAATCTGTAAAATATGCATTGATGACATAATGGCAACCCGGATTGGTTTAAAAAAAAACACGACGTTGCCGTAAACAGAGACCTTTAAGCGAGCATAACATGACATACCTACCCGAGTCTACTATACACTAAGTTGTTTGTTTATACAATTATTAACAAATATTAATAATCATTCAAGATGATGTGTTATCATTGTTCCAAAATTCACCGTTGAAATAAAATTCATCGTTTTTTTTGTAAATACTCACATAGTAGTATTTCCGTATAAATATTGGTTAATGAAAGTTAAAATATTTATTTCTTTTAATGATTCCTATAATGAATTACGTGAGTTAAAATGTAAATTTAACAAACTATTATTTTTTTGGTAAAGAAAAAAATATTATCATTCATTGTCCCCGCAATAAAATGCATTATGCAAGCTGCATCTGTAAATTTCCGAATACCGCTAAAGCAGATTTTTTCTTTTTTTTTATAGGATAAGACAACGACAAACGAGGGCATAGTCCACCTGATGGTAAGTGGTTGCTGTGGCCCATAGACATCTACATTTATCTTCGATTACGTATCAAAATGCAGATGCGTTGTCACCCGTGAGGACTAAGATGGAATGCCTCGTTTCCAGTAAAAGGGTCTCCGGTTCTCTACACTCACCATACGAAATACAGCGTTCAGCTGGTATTCTGTGAGACCGCGGTCTTTCCCCGGTCGAGCCGACCCATTCGTGCTACAACCATAATATAGCTGCAGCATGGCTCTACCACGTATAAAACTAAGTTTAGTAAACAAAGCTTTTATATGTGGACCTCATTGTAATTCATTATGTAAAGTTATCCCTAAAACACCGTTTACTCCTTTCTTTAATGCCAAATTATTCATGTGAAACTGGTCTAAAATCTTATTTAAGTCTCAATTCCCGGTTGACCTTAAATATGAGTTATGTGTCATCTGCATACAGCACACTTTTGTTAAGATTTTAAATAAAGAATGGTAGGTCATTTAGGATATAAACAAGAAACAAAAATGGTCCAATAATAGACCGCGGTGGTACGCTCATTTTTTTATAGTAGAGGGGGCAAACGAGCATGTGGCTCACCTGATGGTATGCTCACCGGATGGTCCATGAACAACTGCAACACCGGGGTAACCAGGGGAATCGCAGATGCGTTGCCGGCCTTTTAAAAAGGAGTAGGCTCTTTTCTTGAAGGTCACTAAGTCGTATCGGTCCGGAAAAATCACTGGTGGTAATCGATTCCACAAGGATGTTGAGCGAGGAAGAAAACATCTTCTAAATCGCACAGTGGTGGACCGCCAATCATCCAGGTGGTATGGATGGTATCGGGAGTTCTGCCGCGATGTGCGTTCGTGAAATTTGGCGGCTGGGATTAATGTGAACAATTCCTTAGGGCACTCCCCGTGGTAAATGCGAAAGAAAATGCAAAGGGATGCAACATCTTTTCGCAGTGCTAATGAATCGAGCCGATCGGAAAGGACTCGATCGTCGACGATTCGAGCCGCTCTGCGCTGGATGCGGTCAAGTGGAAGGAGCTGGCACAAGGGAGCCCCAGTCCAGAGATGGGAACAGTATTCCATGTGAGGCCGAACCTGCGCCTTGTAAAGTTGTAGGCGTTATGTCGGCATGAAATACTGTCCCGCTCTGCTGAGCACGCCAAGCTTTTTAGAGGCCAATTTGGCCTTCCCTTCCAAATGACCACGAAACTGCACGTCACTTGATATGTCGACGCCGAGGATTCCGATGCTAGATGAGGCCGCAAGAGGAGTGCCTTGAAACTGAGGAGATACGACAAAGGGGTTCTTTATAGCGTTAAACGCGCAAACTTGTTTCTTCTGAGGATTAAACTGGACTAGATTTAGTCGCCCCCAATCCAAGACTTTGTTTAGCAAAGACTCGACTTTATACACAAGTTTGTTCCGGTACTCGGCGACGTTTTCCCGAAAAATATTGGCACGGCCGGTGTATAGAGCAACACCAGTGCTGTCCATACGAAGGGAGCTTCGAAAGATGCGCTTTGTGCCAAACCCGATCAAAGGCCTTCGCAATATCCAAACTAACGGCCAATGCCTCCCCCTTGAACTCTACTGCCTCCACCCATCTATGAGTCAGGTAGACCAGAAGGTCACCAGCTGATCGACCCCGACGAAAACCGTATTGGCGGTCACTAATCAGCTGGTGATCCTCAAGGTACCGCATGAGCTGGCAGTTTATAAAGGATTCCATTATTTTGGAGAACAAGGAGGTGATGGCGATAGGCCTGTAGTTAGACGGATCTGAGCGGTCGCCTTTTTTAGGGATCGGGTGGACAAAAACTGTCGCCTAGGGAATAGAAGTACCAGAAAAGACGCGTTAGAACCGGTGCACACTTCCTCAGCACAATTGAGGGGATTCCGTCAGGCCCACTCGAATTGTGGATGTTCAGGGAGAGGAGTGCTCTGCGAACCGAGCGCTATGAGAACCGCACATCCGGCATAGAGCACTCACACCGCGGGATAGTCGGCGGTGTGTACTAAAGATCTAAACAACCTACTGAATTTACGCCATTAATCGAAACCTTAAAGTATATATGTGTTAAGCATCGGAACCCTTTGCCGTGACATTATTACTGGATGAAGCAGGCTTGTGTCGGTGTGTAATTTACGACATTATTACAAGTGACGAATCTTGGGTTCATCAATACGGTCAAGAAACGATAGCCCAGACAGAGGTTTGGCTACTTCGAAATTAACCAACGCCTACCAAAGTGAAATGATCTAGAAGCGCAGAGAAGATTGTGATCGCTAGCTTTTCTGCCGACTTCCAAAAAGGAGACGATACTCAATTCGACTGTATGTTTTTTTTAAGTGTGTTACCTCATAACTTTGTACTGGGTGAACCGATTTCGATGATTCTTTTTTTATTTGAAAGCTGATAGTTCTCGTGTGGTCCCATATGAATATGATCAAGGTAAGACCAATAGTTTTTGAGTTATTCTTAAATAACTTATATTGAAGTCGGCTGTACAAAATTTTTAATTTTTAATTATTTACTTTGACGAGGTATATGGTGTCAATTCCTCTAGGAATTTAAGTAGCAAAATAATTTCTTATATTTATGCGAACACTACACATTTAAATAAAACTAGTTTTTACGGATTTTATCGCGTATATTTTATAATTTAATTAGCGTCAAGGATGCTTGACACAAGTGTTCACTGCCGTAAGCAACAAGCGACTGAACACGGGGTTCCACTGCTGCATCATGACAACGCGTCCAAGAACTTAGTGAGGGACTTCCTAGACAGCACACCGGTTAAGTTTTTGAGTCACCCTTCTTACAGCCCTGATATAGCACATACGCTCATTAACTGAAATGGTAACGGTTGTCATCGCTCGAAGATGTGCTAGCAGCGTTCAAGCAGGCCTAAAAAGAGGCGTCTGAAGCAGACTGGAAAAAGTGTTTAATTAATTCAGACCAATGATTAAACTTTGCAAAGATGCTGGTGGAGAGTTCTTTGAAAATATTTCATAATAAAAACTTTTTTAGCTTAAACTTTCCGAGTGTACCATGTATATTATACACATATCATTTTAACCCCATTATATACTTTTCAACAAATATTATTATTATAAACCCCTTTTCTAATTTCAGGGCTGCACAACTTGTGGAATGTTCAGCTTTAGAGCGTGTCAACCTGAACGAAGTCTTCGAAGAAGCTGTTCGTGCCGCTCTACGGAAAAAACCCGTTCACAAACGCACCTGCCAATATCTTTGATTAACAGAGATTATTTAAATCGACATAAAATTAAAAAATACATTTGTTTACAAATATTTTTAAGTTGCCTAATGTTACAAATTAATTAAGGAGCAACTTTTCATATTAAAACCATTTTGTTATTGTTTTGGTTTTCAAAATTTTTAAATGCTGTTAAAAGTTGGTAATATTCAATATGAACATACCTAGTCCATTTGAAATTTGCTACAAATCATGTTACAATTTAACTATATAATTGTAATGAACTGTATTATTTTCATCGAACTTCTATGTAATAAGTATTTATAGATTGCACAAATGTAAATAAATAGAATAGAGTATTTTATTAGAGTTAATGTGGCATTACTGCCACAACCAATGTAGGTACTTTATTATTTATGTTATTTAAGTACTTATGACCTCTATAAATTATTTTCTTAATTAAAAAGACATTTAAATTCGAAAATAATTCATCTTATTATTTTATAAATTTTCCTTTACATATCTCGAGAGCAGCTGAACCGATTTCCCTAATACTGTTTTTATAATATTCCTTGAAGTACGAAGATGGTTCTTACGGAGACAAAAAATTTAAAAATTAGCCCGAAAAAGTCTAAAAAAACCATATTTCATATTCCCATACAAAAGATTCGTAATAATACTTAAAAGTCAATTTGAACTTTAATACCATACCATAAAGTTTAACTGTTAGTGGAGGGGTTCAGGGAAGGCAAAACAATTAAGTGACTTTAGTAGGTATCGTATAAATATTAATGTCAATATTTGTCAAAAAACACCACGCGGGCGAAGTTGCAGCTAGTAATTTTATAAATACAACAATTTGTATAGGCACACACGGGTATGGCTACTTTCCTCTTGTCCGCCGGTGGCCTGTGTTGCTCTATGTAGGCACATAACCAATAACTGACCCTTTTCAAATTTTGCAAATGACAGTAGAGTGGCTACTTGACGCCGCATTGGTGGGAAATGGTCCTGGATGTCCTCATTTCAAATTATATTTTTCTGGCAAATATATAAGTTTTTTTATACAAAAAGATGATATTATTTAACAACTTAGTAGTGAAAAAGTTATTGTATTGCAATTTTTGACTGATGTAATGTTATTGTACAAGAAGACATGATTATATATTTTTCAATCCATGTTTACTATACAATGTTGCGACAGAAACAATAGCTCGCTTACTACATATTTATTAATCTGTGACAGAAAATGAAATGCGATGGACATAGTTTTTAGGGTTCCGTAGTTACATGAGAACAAACCCTTATAGTTTCACCGTGTTCGTATATCCGACCGTTCGTCCGTCCGCCTGCAGTTCTGCTCAGTGACCCCGGGTGCTACAAATCTGTAATTTGGCCTATGCCAACTATTTATAGATATTAATCACGCCCATACAAGTAAATGGAGGATGGTTTTTTTCACCCGTCTATTCCATCATGTGGGGTATCGTTGGATACTTAGGTCTTTCAAAAACACTGCGGGTGTGGAACAACATCTTTTCGATTCAGGGGTCCGTTTGCGAAATATCTAGCGTTAAAGTGGTATTTTGAAAGTGGAAAGGCTGCCCGCAGGGTGGGGTTCTCTCACCTCTCCTGTGGAATATGGTCATTAATGAACTCATCAGCAAATTAAATGACAATCACTTCTATACAGTAGGTTATGCTGATGACCTGACAATACTGGTCTCTGGAAAGACAGCAAGCATAGTGTGCGACCTGACCCAAGCGGCTCTCCGTATAGTGGAGAGATGGTGCAGGGAACACGACTTAACTGTCAATCCAAATAAAACGGTTTTAGTTATGTTCACACAAAAACGAAAGCTGAATAACTATCATCCTCCAAGTCTTTTTAGCACAAAACTCCAGCTATCCTCTGAGGTAAAATATTTAGGTCTTACCTTGGACAGCAAACTTAACTGGAATAAACACATAGAAAACAAAATCAACAAAGCTAGTATAACTTTCTGGCAATGCAGAAACATGATTGGCAAAAGATGGGGATTGACGCCAAAAATCATACTGTGGCTTTACAAAACTGTAATTCGGCCCATGATCACATACGGCGCTCTGGTATGGTGGACCAAGACAAATGAAGCCACCATAATTAAAAAGCTTCAGCGCTACCAGAGACTGGCATGTATGGCTGCTACAGGCTGCATGAGAACTACGCCAACAGCAGCCTTAGAAGCGATGCTGGAGCTAACTCCGCTTCATCTACATATACAACAAGAAGCGACTTTAGCTGCCATCAGACTCAAGACCCTAAATCTTTGGAGTAAGAATAGTGTCCCTCATACAGGCATAATTGATAGAATTCACTCAAAAATTCCTATCCTACAAGCCAAATACGATAGGATTCCTAAACAATTTGTTTTCGATAAGAAATACAAGATACAGTTAAATGAAAACAGCCAGCCGGAAGGATTAAGCCCAAAAGAGCTTAGAATTTTCACCGATGGTTCTAAAACAAATGAAGGTGTAGGTTGTGGAGCTTTCTCTGAAGACCTCAATATTCACATATGCACACCGCTGGGTACCTATAACACGGTCTTTCAGGCGGAATGTATGGGTATCATTCAAGCGGCCATAGCAATAGATGCTAGGAAGGTTAATGACTTCCCCATCAGAATACTGACCGACAGTAGGGCGGTACTCCAAGCCCTGAGATGCAATGTGGTGAACTCGGGACTAATATATGAATGCCATCAACGATTAAATGAGGTATGTAAAAACAACAATGTGACCCTGCAATGGATAAAGGGACACAGTGGATCCAGAGGCAACGATGCAGCAGACGAACTTGCCAGAAGAGGATCGGCTTTGGCCACTATAGGGCCGGAACCGATCATACCAATCCCCTTTGGTAACGTTTGTTCACTGGTACGTAGACACTTTACTAATCAACACGCTCAGCTTTGGAAAAATCTAGTAGACTGTAGACAAGCTAGGGATGCCCTGCCTGAAATTAACAGTCGCTTAACAAAAGTTTTAATGAGACTGAACAAGCCGCAGATTAGGATAGTAACAAGTGCTATCACAGGACACGGCACCTTTAACAAACATTTATTTACTATAGGTGTTACAGATAGTCCCCTGTGCAGGGCATGTATGGGGGAGGAAGAAACGGCGGCCCACGTGCTACTGAAATGTCCGGAGGTCGCTACATACAGGGCTAAACATCTCGGCACGCCGGGATCACTCCCCGAAGTTGCATGCAACATCAAGGGCCTGTTGAGCTTCTTCGGAGAGATCTCATGGCTCGAATAATCACATTATTCCTGCCCACACGCAAAATACGCGCATAGACGTGGAGTTGCGGAAAACAGCCCGTCGTAAACTAAACTAAACTAAACTAAACTAAACTAAACTAAAAAGTGGTATTTTTCATTAGAGTCATGTGTACCCCCGCTCCCTCTACCAACTAAACCGCTGTTTTTGGAAATATGAAAAGTATATACGATAGTAGTATATATAATGAAGTTAAAGAAAAACTATCACAACTAAGTAGAATTAAGAAGTTAAGGAGTAATAGTTCGTAGTTATAAAACGCACTTGGATTAGTAAAAATTTTGTTACAACTCCATAGAAAATGACCTAAAACTAGCTGCATTATAACTTTGTAATGTCATTGTAAATTGTTAAAAATAAACATTTTATATGAAGAAAACGACTTCCAAGCTTTACTTTTTCATTTGCGGGATAGGCAGGGAAGATTTTTCTTACTTACTACTTTCACTTATTTTTAGTTGGTAGTTATTGTAGGCCTCATTCAAAGTATTCATACAATTATATAGCCCCATACAGTTTCATTCGTCACACTCTTGGTTTATGCGGGTGGCCTCAGGATAATTTAAGGCAGTGGTGGCTTACGTGGCTTACACCACTGAAGCCCTACGGCAAAATTTGGTACTAAATTTGATAGCTCCGCCATTTTATCGTTTGTCAGGAGTATTTCAAGAGTGTTGGTCGTGGAATTTTTAATTCTAATTAATGAAATATTAATTACACCGTAAACAAGCTGCGTTTGGAACTTTAGGTAGATATTAAATATCAAGATTCGATTTGGCACAAAGCGCTTCTTTAAAATACTTCCTATGGTTTTTCCTTCCTATGACTTTTCCAACAAATAATGCGTTTAAATCACCCGTTTTCTTGCAAATCGAAGTATAAAGGTCGTAGTGGACGAATTTTTTATTATAAAATTAAAGTAATGAGCTAACTTACCGTCCACGTAAGTGGACTAACTTACAACCCATAGAGAACTGCAACTAACTTTAAACAAAGAAGGCTAAATATGCGTTATCATCTCTGAGGACTAAGATGGAATGCCTTACAAACTGTAATTATTTTGGGGCTCTATACACTTCAGACCGGAAAACAGCAGTGCATGCACTGCTATTTGGCGGCAGGAATATGTAGAAGGTGTTAGCTACTGACAGCCGGACGCCTAGGCAGAAAAGGATTCCCATCACTTAGTCAAGTAGTAGAAGTGGCATGTCTTCTTTTTTTGAGAAAATTTACTCCATCAAACAAGTAAAAACTTGTTTTGCTCGTGTAACCGGCAAAATAAAGGTGCGCAAAAATTTCTCATTTAGGTTTTGGTTTTAGTTTCCTAATACTAAAAAATTAAAGCTGGTTCCTTTTTGATCTTTTCCAATTCCTGATATTAATTGATTCAGCCGCGCAAGAAATTTAGTCTAGAGAGCAGTGCGGTTGCAACTAGTTTTAACATAGGAGCGCGTGGAGCGTGGACTTATACTTTGATATAGGGGAATGTCTGCGTATTGCTACGCTATCCGGACCGCCGCACTATGGGAAAGCCCCATACAAAGCCGTCTCATAACTGTTTTTAACGAAAGTCGTTACGTGATGAAAATTATAAATTAATATACTATTATAAACAAAATTTCTTTTTAGGTAGGTATTTTTATTTTATTTTGTATGTTGAACGTAAGTATAAAAGAGCATCAAATTATTACGATTTAATGCCACATTACTTAAAAGTTTTCCATATAAGTATACAAGTACATTGGAATGCTTATAAGCTTCTCCAAAATTTTCGTAAATACTATTATATTATATTAGTTAATCAAACAAAAAATTACCAATATAATTTAAGATGTTATATTTATATATAACATCTTAAACTATAACTATAAACTATATATACCTAGTCAGGTCATAAGTATTGTCACACAGTAAAACTTTTCTTTTAGAATGCTGGCCACAAAAAAGTTTATTGAATTCGAATTTCGAATTGTTCATGAAATAAAACTGTATACTTTTTAGAATTTTACTCATTTTTAAATATGGAGTGGACGCTTAAAGAAGACCGTGTTGCAGTTATTGCGTTGCATCGTTGCGGATACGCGCCAATTCAAATTTTTGACATACTGTAAAATTTGAATATAACCAAAAGATTCGTTTATCGTACCATCAAACGATACAATGAAGACTCTAGTGTAGATGACAGGTCACGAAGTGGTCGCCCTCGGTCTGTTAGGACTCCAGCAGTGATAAAAGCTGTGAAGGCGCGAATTCAAAGAAATCCCAAACGTAAGCAGAAACTGTTGGCCCTTCAGATGGGGTTTAGCAGAACCACGGTGAAAAGGGTGTTAAATGAAGACTTAGGGCTTCGGGCATATCGAAGAAAAACAGGACATCGTTTGAATGCTCGTCTAATGGACCTGAGACTGAAGAGATGCCGCGCTTTGTTGAAGCGGTACGCGGGAAAAAAATATCGGGAAATTCTTTTTTCGGATGAAAAAATTTTTACCGTAGAAGAGAGCTACAATAAACAAAATGATAAGGTGTACGCACACAGTAGTGAAGAAGCGAGCAACCGTATTCCGCGTGTCCAACGAGGTCATTTTCCATCCTCGTTCATGGTATGGTTGGGAGTTTCTTATTGGGGCTTAACAGAGGTACATTTTTGTGAGAAAGGTGTAAAAACGAATGCAGTTGTGTATCAAAATACAGTCCTGACGAACCTTGTGGAACCTGTTTCTCATACCATGTTTACTTCTCTTCTTCTTCTCATCTCATAACATGTTAGGCACTGGGTATTCCAACAAGATTCGGCGCCAGCTCATAGAGCGAAGAGCACACAAGACTGGCTGGCGGCGCGTGAAATCGACTTCATCCGGCACGAAGACTGGCCCTCCTTCAGTCCAGATTTGAATCCGTTAGATTACAAGATATGGCAACACTTAGAGGAAAAGGCGTGCTCAAAGCCTCATCCCAATTTGGAGTCACTCAAGACATCCTTGATTAAGGCAGCCGCTGATATTGACATGGACCTCGTTCGTGCTGCGATAGATGACTGGCCGCGCAGATTGAAGGCCTGTATTCAAAATCACGGAGATCATTTTGAATAAACTTTAGTGTCATAAGAATCTATGTTTTGTTAAGTTCATTTTGGTATATAAATGGTTACATAATTAATAAACTTCTTTCAATTATTTTATATTAAACATGTGACAGAATTTATGACCTGACTAGGTATATTTTTACACTTTCTTTTAACAAGAGATAGAAAATAGCACTTACTTACTCCTTTTTTGATACCGACCTAAAACACATCGCGAGATAAAAATCAATTTTTCAAAAACTTTTATTTCTTTGTAAAATAGCATGGATGACGGTGTATTTATAAATTTATTGAAATGAGATATGTTAAACAGTTCTCAAGACCTAATTTACATCTGGGCAAAAAAATTATGTCTTAAATTCGATATCTATTGTGGCCAAATTTTTATTTTGAGTTAAAAAAGTTATTTGTAACTCAAAATATAAAAAATAAATAAAGAACCTATATATCCAAGTATACCTATGTAAAATTACATTTTAATTAATTTTGAAACAACTGAAATATGAAGTTTTGAGACGAAACACACCCGGTTTTCCCATAGTGCGCCAGTGGTCTATGTTGCTCTATACTCTACACAATGTCCTCGAATTGTTTCTATTTAAACCTTTAGAAATTTACCCCCAAAACCTAGGTGCTACTTTAGATATTTTACACCCAAATTGGAACATCACCGCTAAAGCCGTTAGGCTTCTTGAGATACTATCGTTATCTGTCCGCTACATTACGCCGTCATTAAAAGAACAATGGCCAAATTTCTATAGCAGCTGGACTTGATTTTTATTTTTCATGTCCCAAAACAAACTATAGTTAGATTGGTTTGTTTTTATGATGTAAACACCATCCCGTTCGAAAATCATGTCTAAATAGCCGCAATTTTTTACAATAACGTCAACAATACTTTTGAGGTTAGCATATGTAATCTTCTTCACTGATCTAAAATAAGAATAAGACATGTATTATGATGTACGATTGTGTGTGATGGTTTATGTTAGTGTAATAAAATAAGTAGGTATATAAATATGTACTATTGAAGAATTCCACGCGCAGATCTTAGAAATTACTTTGGTATCACGCTCAAAAACGAGATGGCGGCGAAGTGTATCAATGCATATGTTACAATTAACACATAGCAATCGCAAGGCTAGTTGTCGTTGTTGTGTAGCTGTAGTCTGCATGATGTTTCTCACAAATATGCAAGATGCAAAATCGATGTCCAGAAATCAAAAGCACAGAATAATCGTTAAAAGTGGTAGTTATCAGTCCGTAAAACAATGACGAAGTGAAAACAAGAGAAGGAAATCTTAAATAGTACAGTACGTATCGAAATCCACAAAAACGAGTGAAGCAAATAAGATGATGCGAATTATTGTCATAGATAAATAGATATATAGATGATTGCCGGGTGACAATCAATGCTGTCGATCGATGACCACAGATTATGTAACTTGTCGATGAGAAATGATGTTCCGTTGTACATAATTGAACAAAAGGCTTAGCTTACTATGTAGCTACATAATTATTTTATGACATGAATCCAGTACATAATAAATCAGTTATAGTAGTTGATACCATGCCTACATACTAATTGATTTGAATTATAATTTAACAACTATTCAGAAAAAGTGAATAATTATAGTCTTTGAATACAAAGTCCTTTCATACGTAAAATGAATCATCATTAGGTGCGTTAGAGTGCGTTCTGAATCCATTATTTTAAATAATTTCTGAACAGTTACAAAAACAAAAATAAAAGGATAACCGAGTACCGGAACAAACTTGTGTCTGAAATCAAGTCTTTGCTGGACAAAGTCTCGGATTGGGGGCGACTAAATCTAGTCCAGTTTAATCCTCAGAAGACACAAGTTTGCGCGTTTACCGCTAAAAAGAACCCCTTTGTCGTATCTCCTCAGTTTCAAGGTACTCCCCTTGTTGCCTCAGCCAGTATCGGAATCCTCGGCGTCGACATATCGAGTAGCGTGCAGTTTCGTGGAAGTTAAGGCCAAATTGGCCTCTAAAAAGCTTGGCGTGCTCAGCAGAGCGGGACAGTATTTCATGCCGGCTCAACGCCTGCAACTTTACAAGGCGCAGGTTCGGCCTCACATGGAATACTGTTCCCATCTCTGGGCTGGGGCTCCCCAGTGCCAGCTTCTTCCACTTGACCGCATCCAGCGCAGAGCGGCTCGAATCGTCGACGACCGAGTCCTTTCCGATCGGCTCGACTCATTGGCACTGCGAAGAGATGTTGCATCTCTTAGCATTTTCTTTCGCATTTACCATGGGGAGTGCTCTGAGGAATTGTTCGGATGAATCCCAGCCGCCAAATTTCACGAACGCACATCGCGGCAGAACTCCCGATACCATCCACACCATCTGGATGATTGGCGGTCCATCACTGTTCGATTTAGAAGATGTTTTCTTCCTCGCACAACATCCTTGTGGAATAGTTTACCACCAGCGATTTTTCCGGACCGATACGACTTAGGGACCTTCAAGAAAAGAGCCTACTCCTTTTTGAAAGGCCGGCAACGCATCTGCAATTCCCCTGGTGTTGCGGTTGTTCATGGACGGCGGTAGTCAGTTCATGGGCGGCGGGGCAAACGAGCATGCGGCTCACCATCAGGTGAGCCGCATGCTCGTTTGCCCCCTCTCCTATAAAAAAAAAATCATTTTTTTTGTGGCTACTTAGAGAGGTACTTTTTACGTTTTTTAAGACCTTAAAAAATAAGGATATTTTTCATAAATATGGCATATAGGGACACCATCGATTCGTCGCCTGGTACGATTTGGCCAACCTTCTTTCCCATTGCGAACAAAATTATATATGAGGTTGTATGATCATAGATCCCTTTGCCTATTAAAACAACAATGACAGCTGTCATTCGTTAATGATTGACATTTTTATTTGAAATAAATTTGTGTACGTGAAAACGTGAAATAAGTGTACGTGCAGTAGTGAAACATTTTCATTCTATCTAGCTTGTTATGATTGTAATTTTTAGTTCAGGATTATTAATTTGATATTTATTAGTACTTTATTCACGATGAAACGAAGCTACGATGCTATGAATTCTTCTATTGAAATAAGCTCCTATAGGGATCAACATTTTAAGGTAAGATGAAACTTTTAACTAAAACTAAAAAACTTGAGTAAAGAATAATTAAGTATTGATTATTTAAGGGCTCGCGAAATGAACAGGAAAAGTTATTACGTACATCATCAACATTATACATAGGGAACTTATCATTTTATACAACAGAAGAACAAATTTACGAATTATTCATGCGCTGCGGTGAAATACGAAGAGTGATTATGGGTTTGGATAAGTACAAGAAAACTCCTTGTGGATTCTGTTTTGTTGAATATTATGCTAGAGCAGATGCAGAAAACTGTATGAGGTAAGATACATAATTTACATACCAGTTGAATATTTATTTTTCAGCTATTATTTGCAGTTTCTGATAAACTGGCTTTTGTTATAGTTCTGCTTATTTCATCAATATTCCAGGGCAGATTACAATACCATTTTATAATTTTCTTCTTAATATATGACACTTCACAATTTATAGAACTAGAGTCCATTTTGTATTCACTTTTCATTGATTTTTAACTTGCCAGCAAAGTAAGACAGTGTGTCACTATTTCTTTGTTACCTTTGTGGTGTTAGAGATTTTAGGTGATATACTTTCTTATTGGTGCTTTATTTGTGGTTAACAAATTATTATAACATAAGTAGTTAGTTATAGTTAGTTAATATTTAAATATGACACAATATGAATAATGAATGCATGCAATCAACATTCTCTTAAGTGAAGAAAGTAGCCTTATTGCTATTTTGCTCCCATACCTTACTATTGCTGTTTCACTAACACCATTTGAAATTATTTTAATAGCGTTAGTAAGGAAGGAGTTAGTTGCATGTTAATGTTTTGGTGACTCGGTGTAGTGGCAATACTATGTGTCTTATCAGTTCAACATATAATCATATGTAATCACGCCTCTTTCCCGTAGGGGTAGGCAGAGACCACTTCTTTCCACTTGCTATGATCCTTACATACTTGTTTCGCTTTGTCCACTTTCATTATTCCCTTCATACATGCTCTTTTGTTTAGGGTACTCATGACCTGGCCTTTTTTCAAGATGTCCCTGATTTGGTCTAGAAACGTCCGCCTAGGTCTACCCCTTCCAACACTTTCATTCACACTCGCCTTATACACTTTTTTCGTCAATTGTTCTTCATTCATTCTCTTGACATGGCCAAACCATCTCAGCATACCTTTCTCAATTTTTGTCACTACATCTTTCAGACCACAACGTTTCCTTATCTCAATATTTCTTATCTGGTCACTCAGTTTAACTCCTATCATACTTCTTAGCACTCTCATCTCAACTGCATTTATTCTGTTTTCATGTTTCTTCTGCCATACCCAACTTTCACTTCCATACATGAGTGTCGGAACCAACACCCCCTCATGCACAGCCAAACAAGCTTTGTTAGACACCTTCCGACTGCTCATAAAGGAGTGCAAAGCTCCATTCACCATGTTTCCTGCATTCACTCTTCTTTTGATATCACTCTCACACTTTCCATCTCTCGTAAACTTTGAACCCAGATACACAAACTCCTTCACCTGTTCAATTAAATATCAGTTAAAGGTAACTGTTAATCAGACACACATTCACAAGAAACATTACATTAAAGTATTACATTTAATTTAATTGCAGGTATATTAATGGTACAAGATTAGATGATAGAATTATAAGGTGTGACTGGGATGCAGGTTTTATTGAAGGACGACAATATGGACGCGGCAAAACTGGTGGACAGGTATATTATAAATTAGTGATGAAAATTATTTCATTTTCATACCAATAAATCTGTCTCATGCTTATAACCTTTACAAAGGAATAATTCGCCTGGGCTCCTGATTAAAAAAAAGTTTTAATTCTTAAAATATAACAACAAATTTCATTTTTACAATGTATGCCCTTGTAAATGATGTATATACCTATCAAATAGTGTAAATTTCTTCTTTAGTGGAGCCCTTATTTACTTAGTCACTAGTTTTATTGCCTGTCAATAGTTTTCTTAGCCAACAAAGTCTATTTAAATTTATTTTAAAAAGTATTCTAGATACTATTAATATCTATTTTACATCTTTTCAAAATATTCTCCATCATGCTCTATACAAAGTTCCATTCACCTAAACCAACTGTGAAAACACATTTGCCAGTCTTGATCTGACAGGTTGGAAATCGCTTCTTTGTAGGCAACTATGGCTTCTTTGACGCTTGGAAAAATCTTGCCTTTTATTTTTTCTTTGACTCTTGGGAACAAAAAGAAATTACAAGGAGCTAAGTCAGGGCTGTAGGGTGGGTGACTTGCACAAGATTCCTCAATAGTTGCTTTTGTTCTAAGAGAGGTATGTGAAGAGACGTTATCGTGATGCAGCATGATTCCCCGAAGCCCGGCCTTTGGTCTTATCTCCCCCACAGCTTGAAAAGCTTTGGGTAATGCAACTATAGTATACTATTCAGAGTTGACTGACCTACAATTTACAATTACATCATCAGTAACGATTTCTGAAACACGCCTAGATGCCCCGTTTTGAAAACGTAGACGCATTTCATGGCACCAATCCACACGAGTCTGTTTTTCGCTTTCGGAGAGCAAACGAAGGATCCATCGACAACAAAGCTTCCTCACTCCAAGATATTGATGAAAGATGGTATGAATTCTCCCCGAACTAATGCCTACAATCTTTTCGATGTCCGTATATGTGATTCGTGGGTCTTCTCGCACCAATTTTTCAGTAGTCCATACATTTTTTGCCATTACTGCTATTACTGCTGTTTATTGCGCGTGATGGAGCTGAGTCCCCTAATGCTAATTGTAAACTTAATTGTTTGGTTAAACCAAATTTAAAATCATAATATATCATAGCAATCAAATGTTCACGGTTAAGATCCATCGTTTTAAATGAAAAGCGTGGGAAGCGTTCCAGGAAAATTAATAGAACTTTGTTTCTTTTTTAATATTGAGCAATTGGCTTATGGAGTTCTATTTTTAAATAAATTTGCTTTTTAGAAACATCTAACACAGGTGCGTTCCATTTTTAAATTTCGAGCATCTCAAAACTTGTTGAGTGCATTACATATAAAGCTATCATCCTTTTAACTCAAGACATTGGAAAATTAAAATGGATAGATATATCAGGGATATAGCTATGGGATCCATCTTGCATGCTTATTGCATAAATCTACAGAAACAGCCCTGATCAGTGTTATTGAAAGGGTCTTTCTTGACCCTGAAGGATAAAGAAATAGCTCTTTGAGCCTTTCTAGATATTGAGGTCACCTTTTATAGCAGCCTTTTATAGCTGCAGGTGGGTACAGTCGATGTTCACAAACAGATAGGCAAAAACAGCTCTGTTTCAAACATCGATTGAGGTTGCAACTACCAGAAGTTGTCCACAAGAAGGTGTACTGTCACCCCTTATTTGGACTCTCACGGTTGACCAATTATCATACAAGAGTGCAGACAACAGTTATAATATCTTTAACCAAAACGAGACTGTTGGATAAAGTAGTTACACTGAAGCTTAATGGTAAAGAAGTATTGTTCTCCATTGAAGTTAAGTATTTGAGTGTAACAAGCGACCAAAAACTAATGTGGAATTGTCACATTAGCAACATGTCATATGGCTAAAATTGCTTTAGGTAAGAGTTGTGGGTATGCGTCCAGGATGAGCCTGTGGCTGTACAGCAGCATAGTGAGGTGTTAACCTACGCCTCAATTGTTTGGTGTAATAAGGACAATCAAAAGGCGACTATATAACAAGCTAAATAGTCCACAAAGGACTGCATGTTTAATAGCATAGTATGAACATTGCCTGGAGTGGCTCTTAATGCACTTCTATGCATAAAGCCCCTTGATCTTTATGTAGCCAATCAGTCAAGGGCTAGTTTGTATAGGATCAATGCTGAGGGCCCATCATAAATTTTTAATAAAATCTGTATTGTGGAATTACATTACCGAAAAGACTAACTGAATGGACAGGTTATCTGTGAGGTTGGTAGTCTTATATGGTTTACTGATGGGTCAAAAGTGGGCCTCAACATAGGTTTTTGAATTTATAGGGAATGCCCCAAATTCAAGCTTATTTTGAATTTGGGGAATTCACCTCTATCTTCCAGGCAGAAATGTACACCACTGTGTGTGTGGAAATCAACCTGCAAAAACACTACATCAACCATATTATGTATATAAACTCTGATATTGAAGCACCACTGCTAGCGCTGAGATCAAACTTAGTGACCTCAAACTAGTTGGAAACTGCGTGAACCGTTTAAACACTCTGAGGTGTAACAACAGGGTAATTTTAAGTTTGGGCGATTAACTAGCCTACAAGCTTCAATGGGAGGGATCAAGGAGTACACAATTTGTACCCGAGCCATTTTGTGGAATCTTAAAAAGCCTGGCCTGATTGTCCCTTAAAACTCTTTATCACAATAAATCACTTAAGATGTGGTCTGATACACCAGGATTAAAACATACTAAAACCTTAATCTGGCTTATGATCCTAAATTCGCTTCAGAATCCTGACTGGACATTGGGGTTAATGGGACTAAGCAACTCAAGGGTGTGCCAATACTTAACAGAAGAAACACCTCTGCACATCCCAACTGATTGTTGATCTTTAATGCGCAAACCTAACACTCATCAGGGAAACTATGTACCTACTTAACCCAGAAGTGATATTGGTCACAGCTATGCAACTCCTTCAACTCATTGAATATATAGGGCTTAGCAAATGAACTATAGCCATAGCAGCAATCACAATATATCTTACTGGTCGTAGTGATACTGGTCTTATTAGACCTGCATAGCTGCTTGCACTATTAAAAATGTCATTTAACTGATCATATTTCATGTTGCCTATTTCACTTTTATTTTTATATAAAACAAACACTTGGTTGTAGATTTCGTGCCTAAACATTAAAAGAATTAACCCTGTTTAAATTTCCAGTTTATTATGAGTAGTAGTCCAATAGCTCTAAAGTTGAGACATAACTATGTAAATGTACAGACTACAGATACACACTCAATATAAATATCATAACATGCTATTTGCGATATCAACTATTTAGCATGTGTATATAAAACATTGCTAATATTACGCATGCTCATTTTAAGAACACAATCTCAAATTAACGGTTGATCCGTGGATTATACGTGGTAGAGCCATGTTGCAGCTATATTATTAGTAGTATAGTTGTAGCACGAATGGGTCGGCTCGACTGGGGAAGGACCACGCTCTCACAGAATACCAGCGTAAAATAGCAGTTTAACACTGCTGTGTTTTGTATGGTGAGTGTAGAGAACCGGAGACCCTTTTTACTGGAAAAGAGGCATTCCATCTTAGTCCTCACGGTTGATAACGCATCTGCATTTTGATTCGCAAACGAGGATAAATGTAGATGTCTATGGCCCATAGCAACCACTTACCATCAGGTGGACTGTGTGCTTGTTTGTCACCCAATCCTATAAAAAAAACGCGCTTATTCGATTACAACATTGGGTCAAATTTTCAGAGCAACTGATGTAGAACCTTCGGATATTTAAAATTTTGACAAACAAACATTAATATTTGAATCATATATTTTTAATAATTTTAATCTATAGATTAAAATTATTTTTATTGAAAGTTATTTACTTGCATAATCTAATACCACCGAACTATTACATAAGTAATAAAATTTATTAATTCGAAATAATTCTAAGTAATTAGAAATAAATAAAAATATTTTTATGCTGTGTATACTTACACAAGTACCTTCTGCCATTTAAGATTTCATTCTTGACACCCGGCTAATTCTTTCATGCTAGTAGGTAATATTTACTAGCTAATATTATACTTTCGTGTAATAGGCATACATAATGTGAAAAATGAATGTCAGGTAGCAATCAACCAACCATATTTGCCTTTATAGACGATAACGCCCATTGTTATAATCTTTAGATCTGTTTCATATATTATTTAAGTATTTATGTTTAGTTTACATTGTAGTGATTTTCATCCATTATAAACCCAAAGGCAGTGAAAGTGAATTCAAGTTGAGTAATTTGTTTTAGCAAAAAACTTACGTTATGTAAAATACGTTTTCAGGTCCGAGACGAGTACCGTACAGACTACGATGGCGGTAGAGGTGGTTATGGTAAAATTATAGCTCAGAAAGTAACTCCAAATACTTTAGATCGCTGACATTCAACATGTGTAGATAATGAGATACTACTATGAAAGACTGTAATTGCTATATTTTAACATTCAACTAGACCTGAATGTGGTAAGAATAAAATATTTTTTACGAAAAGCCATTTTATTTCATTTGTAAATATGATTGAAGTTATATTATGACAGCTACTAATTTTCCATATAAAATAGTTTTGTCATCTATTGTGAAGTTATAATTGAGTGAATTCAAAAGGATGTTTTCATTTGGTGTAGAAAATGGGTGAGCAAAGTGCAGCGAGTTAGGACTTTTAATACATTCTCAAAAAGGATAATGATCGAGAGACAAAATCCAACTTCAAAGGAAAATATTAATTTTTTACATGACTGCAGTGGATCCCAAAAAGATGAGTCGAATGAAATTTCAATCAATGTCATAATTAGTTGAATAACATAATAGATTAAAAACGATGACGAACTAGATGTTAAAAATGTAACAACATTAAAGTTAATCAATTATCGACATAATGTAAATTTTATAAATTTTTCTAATTACTTGGCTGGTAATTTACCGAACAATTATTTTTTTAACGAGTTTAGGTAAGTCCGAACAAAGTGAAACAAAGGATTTACACTAGCAAGCGTGAAGCCGGCAACTCACTAGCAATTCCTCTGGTGTTGCAATTTTTCAGGGGCGGCGGTAGTCACTTACCATCAGGTGAGCCGTATGCTCGTTTGCCCCCTCTATAAAGTTACAGCCTATATATGCTCCAATGCTAGGTACAGGGCTCATCTCATTTTTGAGAGGGCAAAACATACGAGGGTGGATTGAAAAGTACTCGGCCTAACCAAGAAAATAAACACATACTAAATCACTTATATTTTTATTTTTCTACATAATCACCATCAAGTTCAATACACTTTTGCCACCTCCCCTTCCAAGCATTTAGACCGTTGAAAAAAAATGATTCTTCCTTAGAGTCAAAATATGCGTCTACAGCTGCTTTGACCTCGTCGTTTGTCGAAAATCTTTGACCTCCCAAGTGCTTTTTTAGGTTAGGGAACAGAAAGAAGTCTGATGGTGCCAGATCAGGTGAATACGGCGAATGCGGTAACAGTTCAAAGCCACAGTTGTGAATTTCAGCCATTGACTGTACTGACGTGTGAACACGGGCGTTATCTTGATGAAACAGGACTTTTCTTCTGAGCATTCCTAGACCTTTTTCTTTTATTTCCTCTCGTAAACGACGTAGTAAGGTGCAGTAGTAATCAGAGTTTATATTCTGACCCCTTTCAAGATAATCAATCATAATCACACCTTTCGAGTCCCAGAATACTGAAGCCATCACCTTATTTGCCGACAAAATCGACTTAGCCTTTTTAGGGGGTGGTGAACCAGGTCTTCTCCACTGTTTTGATTGTTGTTTTGTTTTCAGTGTACAGTAATGAACCCATGTTTCGTCCATAGTAACAAAACGATTCAAAAAATCATCTGCATCGGCTTCAAATAACTCCAAACAGTTGCGTGAAATAGTCAATCGCGTCCTTTTTTGTTCAACTGAAAGCAGTCGCGGAACCCACCTCGCAGACACCTTGTGGAAACCCAACTCGTTGACAATGATGTTTTGAGTTCGTTCATAAGAGATGCCTATAATCTCGGCTATCTCTCTAATTTTTAATCTGCGGTCTCCCATTATTAAATCAAGTACTTTTTTAATATTTTCATCAGTAGTTGACGTCGAAGGCCTTCCAGAGCGGGGTTCATCTTTCACACTCTCTCTACCACGCTTAAATTCTGCTATCCATTTTTTGACGGATGAATATGACAGAGCACAATCGCCTAATGTACTGACCATGTCATCATGGATGGCTTTTGATGATAGCCCCTTCTTATGGAGGTACTTAATGACGGCACGCTGCTCGATTTGCTCCATTCGCGGAAATTATGTCCGATTACTTTGTTAATAAATTTATAAAATCACAACTAAATATCGCACACGTTTCGAACTTCACACAATGAACTAGTCTGAACTGAACTAAATAATGTGGGTAGATTTGATTTTTAGAATTGAATGGATCTGTGTTAGGCCGAGGACTTTTCAATCCACCCTCGTATTTGTTTCAACAGCTAAGACTGGTGAATGAGCCATTTAAAGCATGGTTTACAAGTTTTTGTGAACCACACTTGGACTACTTTCCAAACTAAGTTCTTTTTCGTAGCTTGACTACGGGATTTAAAAAGGATTCAAATAAAAAATGAAACATTTGTAAAATGTTAATTTAATAAAGCAAAAACACTTTAAAGCCTTATTTATCTGTAGATTACTCTTTGCCTTACATTTATAACAACTGTAATAAATATATAACATAATAATATAAGTAACATTGACTTAAGTTTCATAAGCTTTGATAATTCATTTATTTCACTCCATTAAGAACGAAGTCGCAATATTATCTGATACCTCACTTCACATTGTGTATCCTTTCTTTTTTTAAGTTTGTGATAAAAATACCTCTGTATAATTATATTTTTGCAATGCAATGATGATGGTCTACAAAAATGTAAATATATATCATTTAACTAGGTCATTACCTAACATTTTATTCTCCGGTTACTCCCTTTCTAAATATATTAATTTATGTTAATATATAAATATTTTACTGCATTAAAAATGTCATATAATTTTTTTAAGTAAAACATTTTTGAATGGAGCTATTGTTAAGCTACAAATATATTTTCTATAACATAAACGTACAGTGTATATTATAAATGAATTTTGAATAGATTAACAATATAACATATTTAAATATAACATCCATACCTATTGTGTATAAAATGTTAACAAAAATGATTGCAACTCAACTGTTGCATTGATCTAGGCAACTGTAAATACATAATATTACTAAATATCCTCATCATTTAAATGCATTCTTAGTAATAAATTATTCAAAACACAAGTATACAAATATAAAGCTTTGGTCTCTGGAAAACACAAAAATACGTAAAAATTTAAAAACAAAATGTGTATATAAAGTTTTTCTTATGTTTATTACATTAAAACAATATTTCTTAAAGAGACAACATCAGATATCTATATAATAATAATATAATAATATAATATTCCACAACTATCACACAACGCCATCTAGTCCCAAGCTAAGCAGAGCTTGTGTTATGGGTACTAGACAACTGATGAACATACTTATATATTTCTAAATACATAAATATTATAGATAAATTACACCCAGACACAGAACAAATGATCGTGCTCATCACACAAACATTTGTCCTGGGTGGGAATCGAACCCACGACCTCCGGCATAGCAGTCAGGGTCACTAACCACTAGACCAACAGGCCAGTAAAACTATTTACTTGTTTGCGATTTAAATTATAATATTCAGATCATTGACAAAATTAAAGAATAGTAGTTATGAGATTGTGTGCCTCCAATATCGATTAACTATTCTTTTACAAAAGGACCATAATAAAATATAAAAAATGCTGCAGCATATAATAAGTAAAAAGCGTTACTAGATATTGATGATGTTTGACGTTAACTGAAAAATAAATAAATAATGAAAATGCTTATACTGAAATTGAATTATTTAGCGAATGCGCATATTATGTTATAAAAGAAATAAATATGCAAAGTTATAGATAACACTAGCTTTAAATCGAAGTTAACTCAGGCATGAGATCAAACCACAAAGTTTTCGCTTCAAGGAAGTCGTATTGATTCAGATGTACAATCACCTGAAAAAAAAAATGTTTTAATGAAATTATTTAAGTTAAAAGACAAAAACTGCTCAGTAGCATTATGGTACATGTTTGTATGGCCTAACGGGATAGTTCCTGGTCCGATTTATGTAGTGTAGATTAAAGCAATACCGCTGAGGAAATGCAAACAATGTAAATAGGTTACTATGATGTTCACATATAGCACTACCAAAATCACTGATTTGCGTATTAGATAACTGGTTGTCACCCATTTTGATTTTAAAACCACCATATTTTCATTGTCCTTAAAGTAATTTTAGAAATAAATCTAAATGAAAATATAAACATATTGTAATAATTATTATGATATATTAAATCAAAGAATTATTATTAAATATATATATATATATATTTTACAATTTTTTTTTATCCCTAAATAGAGTAATGTGTGAAGATCTTAATCCAATAAATACTTCGACATCGGCAAGCATCGGTAAGAGGTAAATCTCTTGTTAAAAAAAGTGTAAAAATATAACAACCTAAACTATATTGGTTATTTTTTGTTTAATTAATTAATATAATATTATTTACGAAAAATTTGGAGGAGCATATAAGCATTTCAAAAATGTATAATACTTATATACAATGGAAAACTTTCAAGTAATGTGGCATTGAATCGTAATAACGTATTTCGTCAAAATCATCTAATCGAACATGACTAAGATTTGATGCTCTTTTATGTTGTTATTTTATATTTTTGTTGTTGTTTTATTTTATTTTATATGTTAAACATACAAAATAAAATAATTTATAGTTTTCATCACGTAACAACGACTCGTTAAAAACAATTATGAGACGGCTTTGTAGGAGGCTTTCCCATAGTGCGTCGGTGGCCCATGTTGCTCAATGCCCTGGTGACACGTTAAGTGTTCCCATAAAAACTGTTATTGACAATTATTGTTTTCGTGAAGCAAATAAATACTTAAAAATAGATAAATTATTGTATGTATATAATAATAATGTATAATCATGTCTCAAACATAACTTTTTTGCTAGTTATAAGACTAGATAAAGCATGAAGTAAAATCGGTTATAACCAGTAAGAATGATAATTCATTATCTAAGATATTTGTACTTTATACACTTTTGAGAATTACATGTAAAATTATAACTAAAACAAAAATGTTCCTTTGCGTCAAAAGTCGCTCCTAATCCAGGAATTTCTAAAAACAGATTTTGAAATTGATTACAAAATCGAACTTAAAAGAATTTGTGTATGTCAGGATCGAGACAAATGGAATACAGTAGTCTCTACCCACACCTTTGGGTGGCAAGTGTGAGAGTTAATGTGTTTTTTAATAGAATAAGGGTGACAAACAAGCACACAGTTAATCTGATGGTGAGTGGATATTGAGGAATATACCTACATCTACCCTCGATTAAGAATCAAAATGCAGATGCGTTGTCAATGTTAAGGACTAAGATGGAATGCCTCACAGCCTGTAGTTAATCAGACTTTTATATACTTCAGACCGAAAAACAGTAGTGCAGGCACTGATGTCTGGCAGCAAAAATAGGTAAAAGGGCCTTACCTTTTTTGTTTAAAGTTGGTTGTAGGTGTCCGCCGCAAGCGCTACTTACTATCAGGAGGAGTGTAGGTTTGTTTGTTACTTCAATTTTATAATAAAAAGGACAATCATAAACCTACTGTGAAACTAAGACACTTAATAAAAAGTTGTATTGTATTTAATGGGATGCTTAAGGAGTAATCTCGATTAATTTGCTGCCTAAAAGTCAGACAATATGGTGACAGCACAACTATACACTGAACAATTGCAGCGTTTAGCTGAAAGAGAAGGTAAAGCCGCGTATCAATTATGCGCTCCAAGAGGTCAAACATTGGCGCGCGCTCCAGCCGCGCGAAATGGATACCGCCTTGGAACGCGCGCCAAATTGTTCGTTGGAATACTCAAACGTGGTGCGGGCCGCTCCATCTGGTGTCGGTTTTTTACCGCGTATCAAAGTAGTTTAAGTTTTGGCGTGCACGCCAGTTGTGACGGTTGTTTTCATCATTCGTGTATTCGTTGCGTTCCGAGCTATAGATAACCAAAGTTGCCGTAAATTCATAAAATTATATGGTTCAAAATAACTGCTGTGGAATAGCAAAAGTCGTTTTTATCATAATAAAGCGCCTAGAAAAGATGCATAGAACTATGAAAGCCGCTGCTGCTCGTACACGACCGACATCCATGTTGAACGGTCAAACATAGGAACAGCTGCCGCGATCGCTAGGCGCGCTTTGTTGATATATTTCGAACAATTTGAACGTGGTCCGCGGAGCGGACTGGTCGACGCGCGTGCCTGGAGCGCGTAATCGACCGCGGCTTAAGCGTCCACGCGGTAACGGATTCATTACCTCCACGACAGTGGGACAAAAAATACGTAATTATAAGAATTTAGTGAGCAATAATACCCCTTCCGTTTACAGATTTTTATCGTGTCTATAATATGTCACTATAAAATTATTTCAATGTCAAACAACTTGAATATCCTAAGGATTTTGAAATGAACCTGAACTTATTACTTCAGTCAAAAAGTGAGTATTTTTATTGTCAAGGAATTCATAACCTGCCTTATTAATGGAGCAATGTGTTGTCCAGAAAGATATTGTTGTATAATACTGACTACTACTACTAATATATTTGTCAAACGCTCCCGAAAACTAAGACAGACGATTGTACTTACGATACCTTTGATGTTGGGTCAGAATTTCATTAATAAAATCAGGAAATACCCGCAGTGTAATTTAAAATAAGCTGACTAGATTCAATATTCGCGCGGACGCCGAACTCTTTTATCTAGCTCGGTACGAAACAATACATTAGGTATTATTACTCAGTCTACCCATCCCTTTTACACACGCGCTGCCGCCGTCGCCGCCCGGTCGACTCGTGTCGCGTTGCCAACATGTGGGGAATTCCCCAAATTGTGTGGAATTTAAAGTTGGTTGGGGATTGGTATTATGCGGGAAATGCGTAGACTTTGAAAATAGATCGTTTCGATCGAAAATCGTTAGGTTACTTATTAATATCGAATGACCGCCTTTTTTAATTATCTTCATTTCACCTAATTTAATTTTCGGATTTATTTCGGCAACTTTTGTGTATCATTTAATGCTTTTCACTTCGTTACTTTTAATTTTAAGGGAAAAATAAATCTTATACAATTAGTTGGAAATAGTTTCATTTCTTAAAATAAAATTGAGGGGATTTTGTGGGGAATCTGTTGAAGTTTTGTCCTTAAATTGGGGAATTTTACATAGATTTTCGGGGAATTTGTCAAATTGGTGTTGGCAACTCTGCCATGTTGCACCGAAATTTACCGACTAAGGTTGGTTTGTTTGCCGGCGACATAAGAATTAGAGGCCGCAATCACTATAAAACTTGCAAGTAATTTTTAATAGTTTTGACGTACCCCTTTTTAAATTCAAAGTATTGGACGGATTAAATACGGAAAGTCAATTAAAATAAAGTAAGAGTTATTTTTTAAATTAATTCTGATAGATTAATTAACTGTCGATCATACCTCGATTTTAACTATAATGTCGATTTTAACTATTAAATTATTCAGTACCATTTCATTTCTATGTTCTTGTAAAAAATCAAAGATAACGATGAAATAGTTTATAATTGTGTAAGTGAATATCCAATTAGGTGCGTTTATTAATTTCAATATAATTTTTGTAGTAACGAACTGGTTGTTGCGTCAAGGTACAATTGATTGTGTAATTGTATTAAAAATGACAACCATAACTTCTAAATTCCATATGAAGACTAGTCGTAGGGATAACTAAACTTATAAATAAAATAAACGTTGGCAATGTCGTACCGGTTTAACGTGTGGTAATGATCAAAGTACTTGCCGCAAGGACGTTAGGACGCATAGACTTAGCGGTAGGCATTTGTTTTGGCGGAATTAATTTTTGAGACAGTTCCGTGTTGACTATCAGTTCGATTGTTTTGTTTAGTAAATTCTTGGTTATTTTTTGTGTTTCTTGTTTTGTTTTAATAATGTCGAAAGCGTACGTTTATAGTGCTCGTGAATACGGCAACATGTTAATGTGCCTTGAAGAATCTCATAAGGCCACGGAGGATTTAAATCGGTAAGCCGTTCCATACCTAGTTATTTTTAAATAACTTAGTACTGAACTGATCTGAATAGGTCATAATTGAAAACATCAGATTAATAAACATACCGACACGATAGATAAAAACGTATCGTTAACCTTCTGGCTATACCCGCTATTATCCATAATAACAACAGTATTACCCTTGTCGGCTTTAGTAACAATAAGATCATTGTCCCTTATTCTCTGCTTTAGTGACTTAAAAACAGGGAACTTCGGATTGAAATGGTAAGAAGCGGGTACAGCCTGAATTTCTTTTGCTACCAAACTTTTAACAATGCATAATTGAAAACATCAGATTAATAAACATACCTACACGATAGATAAAAACGTATGACTATCCTTGTTAACATGTCATTTAAGTAAATTTTTCATCATTCATTCAGCGGGTAATGGAACCAAATATTTGGTTTAACCTGTGAATTCGAATTGAAGTGGCTAGGTGGAGACAAGACACAGTGGCAAAATAATAGGTTAAGTAGATAAATTAGGTATTTAGACAAGAACTAGAAAAGAAGCGTCAGTAGCCTAATGGCAGAGCGCGGACCGCGAACTCGGAAGGTCGTGGGTTCGAATCCGCCATTCAACTACTGTCGTGAACCACTTCTAACACAAGCATTTTAAGCTTACCAGAAGTGGTTAAAGAGAATATGAGTGTTTAATAGCATTACTAGTATTTTTTATTAAGAAAGAAAAGACAAGTGTTATAAATTATTAGGTATTGGTACGATCGCTAGCTGCGGGCCGCGCGAATTCGGAGTCCCTAGTCAGCCGATTTTAAATTAGTGTAATTCTGGTTTTATGTTTAAGTATTTCATGATTTTTTGGTCTTGTAGCAGTTTCATTTAGCTGTACTAACATGATGTGAATAAAGCTAATAACGTTGTGAAAAGATGATTGTTTTTCCTCGGTTTTTATCGTCGTTTTCGGGAGTGTTTCATAAACACCCGATATAATACTGTATATATTTTTAAAATTAATACTTATAAATGTTATATTCTATTTTCACAAAGATTTATGCAACAACTTAATATCTTCAGGTTTAGTACTATCGAAAACATTATATAAAAAATAAATAATTATAAAACGTAAATCGACCCTGTTATCTATAAAATAATGATTTTCAGTGTTTTATATCAGATCACATACCTGTCCAATTATAGGACTGCTTCCAAGGAATCCTTTATGAGTGGCCACAGTGACTTCAACTTGCCTAGAGTGCAATTCCGCATGAGGTATGACCCATTCGAATTGTTCATCATATTCTGGCATACAATTGTCTTTTACCACCTATAAAAAGTAGAAAACCTTTTAATAATTTCAAAAATGGAATTCGTAACACTCATAATTATATAGTATAGGAATTTTGGTGGGGCTAGATAGCGCTACTCCATTTTTAACCAATTAGACTACAGCATACTTCGAATTGGCTCTTATGCCTGTTACTCACATGTCAAACTCACAATTACTATATAAGTATTAGCATTCGTAATTTTGACAACAGTTTGCAAAATGCCGAGTTGTGTAGGTTTCATGACGCGCATCAAAGTGCTTGAATCTCGTTTATTCATATTTTTTTATAACTATCCTTCATAGTATCACTGCTTCACAATGTATTGATGCGTCACATTGTGCAGCCCTTGGGAGATTTTGACCGCAACTTGAGCCAGCAGACAGCAGAGAGTTGGCGATGGTATCTCAAGGCGTCTAAGCAGACAGACACCTTATCTAGAAAATCACATCACCATTAGAGCACTTATTTTACCGTTTCCACTAATAGTTCACATGCGCAGTCACTTAATACACAAAATGGCACCACTACATATAAAATCCATTTCAATCCATTATTTGAACAATAATACAGGAGCAGCAAGCCGCCGCCGGTCAAGTTCCCGCCAAAACTCTCGTTCATTCATATGATATTCCATAAATTCCGTCACCTTGGCTGGTTACTTCGTTATTAAAAATAAGAATATGAAACTTTAAAAATTTTGTAAAATGAGGATTCTAAACAAAAATGCCAAAATAAATGACCACAACCAAATACGAAAGTGCCGACCATACATATAGCTATGGACCTATATATATGCTAATAACACTCCATAACGCATTTGTAAATATGAGTGATACACCTACATTCCCAGGCCTACAAAGAAAGAAAGACGGACAGTCCCAGATTCAAGTGACCAAAAACCAAGCCAAAACCGTATGCAACCATGCACCAAGCAGCGGCGCTGTCGTCGCCGTGCCGATGTTATATCACTTATCACCTTAAAGGGCTTACTGTGTAATTGAAGTTAATTCCTGCCATTGACTATGAATGGTGCGTCTGAGGTGAATTAGAAGTCTAGAAGTCTATTTAAACGTGTCTTTCGTGAATTTATTTAATTAACTGGATTATTAAAATCGGCGTTTAATTGATTGATTAACCTTTTGGATTAGTGCAGTTTCTCGCTGGTTCTTCCCAGGACAGTAGTAACAGAAGTATATTTCCATAGAAGACACGTTGAACTTTACTAGCTTAATGAGTAGGTATAGAATGGAAGGGATTTTGGGCAGAATTATGGCGTGTGATGAAAAGTGGTTTCTCTATGATAATCGCAAGCTAAAAACACAATGCTGAACAGAGGTCAAATACCGGAATGATGCTTTAAAGTGAAGCTCACTCATAAAAATGTAATGATAGATTTGGTGGTGATCACTTCATGTATTTCGGTGTATTTCACCATAACTTTTTGCGATCTGGTGTATTAATATCAGCAGATGTCTATTATGAAGAACAGCGAGCAATGAGGGCGAAACTCTTAAAGAAATAGCCCCGACTATGCAATTGATTTTCGGCAGTATTGCTCCATGATAAAGCAAGATCTCACACTCACGCTCGACAAACAGTTTTAACATTACAAGACCTGCAATTAGGAACCATACGTCATGCTCTGTTCTCGCCAGGCCTAGCCCCAAACGATTATAATTTTTTCAGTGATATTCGATAATTTCCTGCAAGGAAAAAAATGTTTTAGATAGAGATCAGATCCCCAGTTTTATCACAAAGGCGAAAATGATCTTCCCCCGAGATGGCAAAAATATATAGATATTGCTCATTACTAAATATTTCTTATAAGTAAATAAACAAATTAAAAATAATATGAGTAGAAAAAAAGGAGCTTGAATTTTTTTAATTTTATATTTTAAACTTTAAAAATTAGTTTCCGAACTAGTGGCGAAATAAACGTAAGAATTACTTTCTATACGTATTATTTTATAGTCCTGAACTCTGAAACTGACGTCGGTTGCGTAAGGTCGGTTGGGTCAGCGAGAAATAAAATACCATAGTGCGATACCGAGTTCTATACGGTACAGTCGTCTGCTAACTTAAGTTCGGAAAGGAGATCGGTAAGTAAAATACAATACAATGTTAATGCTAATAATTATTATTATTACGCTTGAATTCCTCCTACGCTGACGTCGGTCGCGCGTACTAATGTACATTGTGTTCTATATAACCCCACACTACGACGCTGACGACAGCGGCACGTAGTTTGCTGCGCGCCGCGTACCGCGCGCGTCGGTGTCGCTCGTCAGCGCCGCGTACGTCGGTCGACGGAAGAGCGTGGAATAGTGCGAGCGTCCTCACTCTATTACCGACGATCCACGCATGCACGTACAGTCCTTTTTTTACTATCGTCTTCTTTATTGTAATCCGGAAATAAAGGGCTCGAAAACTTTTACCCAGTATTTTGCTCTCGCATCTTTGTACAAATCAATAGATAAATAAGACGTTCTGTATCGATATTCATTGCAACTGTACGTGCACGCGTGAATCGTCGGTAACGCTTGTCAGTCGACTGGCGCTGACAAGCGAGAGCGATGCGCGCGGTACGCGGCACGCAGCAACCTACTTCGCCGTTGTCGTCAGCGTCCTAGTGTAGGGCTATATAGAACAGTGGTGGTTAATATAGCGCACAACGCGTGCTATGTAAGTAGGCGCTATTGCGCTATGAAATATGAGAATCGCGCGATAGCGTACGGCGTCGGCCAGCGCGGAAACTATTTCAGCATCGGCGCTAGCGCCCGGCTGCCTGCTAGTCTCGCGTGCACGCTGTTGTGAGCAACCGTGCTACGCAAATTTTATCTAACAGCACGCTATTCATCGCGCGTGACCTAGTTTAGTGTTAGACGTGGGTTATTTAGTGCGTACTATACGTATTAATAATAGACGGTTTGAAAACAAATTAAAAGACGCTATTATGTAACTGTGATTCTGTGTGTGTGAATAAGTTAGTGTATGACATGTAAATATTAGAATAAAAGATTGTTTGAAAACAATTCTATTTTGACACGATTACGTGACTGTAATTAAGAATTATGATTATATGTGTGTAAAGAGTTGATTTTTGTATATACAATCAATGAACTTCTAAATACGCCTATAATTGATTTATAATTAACATTGATGTTAAAATAACGTTTACATCAATTATAGACAGTCCTAAGCCTGAAAAGTATGAAGGAGAGTTCATTGGTTTTTCTTTACCGCTTTACGTATTAATAAATTATATTCTTATATAGCACGGGGTATTTTCAACGAACAAAATGTAATGTAACGTGCTACAAGATTTAGCGTGCTACAAGACTTAACGCGCCTACCGGTAGCCGACGCGCTTTCTTATAAATAGCACGCTATAACATAGCGTATTTGACAGTGCGCTATAAATTTATGGTTTATAGTCTGTAGCGCGCTATTGATTTATAGCCTTAGTACGCGCGACCGACGTCAGCGTAAGAGGAATTCAGGCCATAATAAATCTATATAAATAAATAAAAATGAAATCTGTTTGTTATGTTAAAATAACAGATTTTTACTACATACATATGAAAGTATATACGGTACTTATAACAAATACACAATTTTTAAATTTTTTGTCTGTCTGTTTATTCCGGCTAATCTCCGAAATGGCTGGACCAATTTTGATGGGACTTTCACTGGCAGATAGCTGATGTTGTAAGGAGTAACTTAGGCTACTTTTATTTTAGGAAAAGAATAAGGGTTACGCGCAAAAAAAATTAAGACCCTAAATTACACGCGGGTGAAGTCGCGGTAAACAGTTAGTATTTTGAATAAGAAGAGAAGAAAGTAAAAACATATGTGGTAAAATAAGAATAGAAGGGGAGTAGGTTGAGAAAGTAGATGAGCATTAACGTTAATTTCTTATTACTTGGGGGTCAAAATTTTACCAATAATAACACCTAAATGTTAAAATTGTATATAATTATTCCAAACTTACCACAGTCTTACGTTTAGAGTCCTTGGAGCGTCCAGGCAATAAGTACAGTTTCACATATGGGTCAGGCACATTGTTTGGGTCCTTAAGAGGTATGTTCCTGGTAACAGGTTAAATTAAGATTACAATTATGATAAACAAGTGAAAGACTGATGAGACGAAACTGAACGTCAGCATAAAATTAAAGACGTGAATAAGCATAGCTAATAAATAACCATGTACTTACATAATTTTATGTACGACTACATACAAAGTCTGATTTTGCATGCTGTATCGTAGAGATAACAAAATACGTCCAAGCCCGGCTTCCCCGGCCGACCTGTAAAGGAACATCTGTTTTTCAATATTGTACAAGTTATGCATATTAAACATATTATTTTAGTACATTGCAATGTACTATGGCTGCATAAAAAAATTAAATGTTTATAAAGCGAAATATTGTTTAGTAGGAGTTATTATACTACTAAAGAGTGAATGATTGATAATAAAATAAAGCTTGATTTCGTTTCAACTCGTGCGATCGTGAAATACTCTCGCGTTGTGCTCGGCAATCTCGGCTCGCTTGATATCACGAGCTGTGTAATGCCAGCTTTAGTCCTCAGGGGTAACAAAGAATTTACATTTTTATTCCTTAATGGAGAATAGATATAGAAAATAGAAATGCCACAATCACCATCAAGTGAATAACTATCAAGTGGATTGTGAGGTCGTTTGTCACCATTATTGATCATACGTGTATCAAGTAGCATAGTTATACCTCGAATGGGTCCGCTCAACCGGGAAGGACCCCGCTCTCACAGAATACCAGCGTAAAATAACACCTTAACGCTGCTGTGTTTCGTATGGTGAGTGTAGAGAACCTGTGAACGCTTTTATTGGAAACGAGGCATTCCATGTTAGTCCTCACGAGTGACAACGCATCTGCATTTTGATTCTTAGTTGAGGATGGATGTAAATGTCTAAGGGCCATAGCAACTACTTACCATCAGGTGGACTTTGTGCTCGTTTGTCACCATTATCCTATAAAAAAATCATCACGCTTGGTAGGCGGGTTGACGATCGTAGTTGCAGGAGTCGCACACCTTTAACGCTGCTCCTCGTTGCCGGTCATAATGATATGGTTAGGTAATAACACCATATCGATCGGAAGCCATAACATATTTTTGGCATTTATTTAGTAGTCTCTTACGATACCTGCAAGACAGTAGTAAATAGGTTTCGTGCAGGTGTCGTATGTCGTAGATGGAGGCCAAAGCAGGGATACTCCGTTCGAAAATGTCTGCTTCTCTCAGTGGTTTCACAGCAACTTCTCCGGTTTTTATTTTAATAGTTTCAGCGTAACTTACGTACTTGCGACTGAAACTTTAAAACTTACAAACAGGTAAGTAAAAAAATATATCTCACGTGGTTATAGAGGAAGTGCGATGTACCAATTTAGGCGAATCACGTTCGGAAGGCACTTGTTCTTGAGGGACATCTGTTTTAAAGAATTAGCATATTTAATAAATGATATGATAAAAAGGTGTATTATATTATGGTGTATTATATATAACACTTACCAACTGGTTTCTTCGTCTGATCCAATTGTATAGACTTTTGTGCGGCAATATCTTGTACATGATCTTCCAGCATTTCTAATTCCGCGTTTGGAGCCAGTGCTATGAAAGTAATTAGAAGATCATTTTAATGAAATATAAATCAGGTTATAGATCAGTTTATTTTATTTTTCAAAGAGTAGCCAAATTTTAAACTAAGTTCAAATATATAAATAATGATATACCGTTATTACAGGTTTTGAAAATACGAGAAAATAAGGCTTCTACTTTTATTTGAAATTATCCCAAATTTAATGTGATTTATGTGCAACAACTACGCATACTCGCGCTTCTCTCTGTGTGTGATTCAATTCACAACGTATTTGCCGACCGATCGACCCTTACAAATGTGTGTGTGCAAGTAAAATAGCAGACAATCCGTTGAATAATGCATTACCACGCATTTTTAATTTAAAAGATTTAAAGGAAAACATTTTTTAGTATTTTTTTAAATTATTTTTTCTTATCCGTTTGCAAGTTCTCTGCAAGTTTGGCCGGCTATTGCAAAGTAACCCTGTATATTACTTCCTCTAAAAATAATAATACAATACTTCCTCTAAAAATAATTAAAATATAATGGCGATAATATTATAGACGTATGGTAATTAAACTTCGTTATTTCATTCTGAAACTAAATTGACAAATACAAAAATGTCGAACTCTTGAGATCCAATGATTAGTAGAAATATGCTTAAAGAAAATAAATATCTTGGCTGGACCTGGGGTTGTGCACGTCATGTGAAATTTACGGCGAATACTTAGCTCCTGAGCTACCATGGCTTCTTTACCGACACGGAAAAATGATCTCTCTCTCTCAGTTTTTTAGGAACGATTTGCCTTAACCGTCAAGGTTGGCAGACGTCTCACACCCATGACGCTGTTGCCTTTCGCCAATTTGATGTAAACGAAATGTTTATACGGCCTTTAATTGGAAGCCGTAAGATTTTTCTGGCATTTCCCAGAGTCGCCTCTTACGTTAACTAAGGGACAAAATGGACACTTATGCCGCAGCCACAAGGCACTCCACGGCCCTATTTTATCTTAACTAAATTAAATTAATAAAACTCATGCCTCCAAAAACATGTTTAAATTTTTTACATGTTCGCCAACACGCATCGGGGTAGCGAGGCGGTCAATTCCTTACGCATTTTCTTCTTTATTTTTGTAAATTGTTATGTTGCACAATAAAGTTATATTTATTATTATCATTAATAGTTACTCTATAAAACACACTCATCACTAAATTTTTTTGCTGATGCTGCTGCTGCTTGGTGCTTTTATTTGTGCTGGTAACGTACGTAATTGTGGGACATCCACGGAGTCCGGGGCGCCGGGCGTGGGCGGGGGCGCGGCCGCCGGCGCGGGGTCGAGGTCCGTCGCTGGTGCCAGTGATTCTTCGTCTTCCTCAATGTCTTCCTCTTTTACAGCCTCTTTCAAGATCTGTAAGAAATATTTTTAATCTGTACGTATAAATAAAATTCATATGCCTGTCTGATATATATCGAAATCACCACCTTTTATTGACCTGGGGGCGTTATTTGCATACCCTTACGACATGAATAATCTTTTTTTTTAAATGTTATATGTCTGTCTGTCCGGGTTTACCTCTGAATTTGAACTGATTGTAATGAAACTTAACGAACAGATATAACGTAGTCTAGATCACTCATGGCATTGCTCTCCATGCCAGCAGTGATCTATGTTCTAACCGGAAAACTTGGAGATTGTTGAGAAATCGAAAAATTGATAAAGTATAAGGTCTGATGATTATCTTCAATCTAATTAACGCCACATAAACAGATCCTACCCAGGCGAAACAAGTCTGGATTCTGGAAAGCATCTATGCATCTGAAAGATGCTGCTGTCCGTCTCCTGTTTCATTTCTCTCAAGAGAATAAGAAAGAAACAGAATCTATGTATATATATACGACACTAAAGGGCGAAATCTGGATAATATTATCTTGTGCTGCCTCTACATAATGCTTACTGTATCAACTTTATGTTATAGTAACATTATTAATTATTATTTCGGCTGCAAAAGAATCCTATCATAATTATTTTAGAAAGAAACAGAAAAGATTTTAAGAAAATAATGAAGTGCATACAACAATATAACTTTTTCTGATAAAATCTCACCTTTAACTGTAGAGCCATAATAATTTTAGATTCGGGGCCAGATTTTTGCAATGTAAGCGGTTGTGTTAACATACACAGATCTTTTTGCTTCAATAAGGCTTTAATGGCGAAACTTAACTGTCCCAAAATGCTTTTAGTTTTTTGATCCAAGACCTAAGGAAAAAGTAAATTTGAATATTTTTTTATTACAAATATTAAGGGTGTAATTAAAAATTAGTATACAAACTAACATAATTCTGAAAATAACATCTAAAATATTTTAAATGTATAAAAGGAAACTGACCTTAATTTCCAAGACGTCGATTTCCGGGTTTTGTACGAGAAATGAATATCCGATTTCATACACTGGGTCGTCAGTACGCATCTGCACTGCAGAATTCTCAGTCTTCTTGCCAACAGTTATAGCCAGGTACGGGTCCGGGCGCGATTGATGCCTTGCATTCTGTCATATAGTAGATATTTGTTAATAAACTAAGCCAACATTTTGTAACAAGTAAAAAAAAGTCACTTAAACAACAACACAATATTAAAAAAATTGTGAATGCCTTTACGTTATGTATCTTATTAATATTATTAATTATATTGGATTTATTGACATTTAAAAGAATCTTTAATATTGAACTAGGTATATAAAATGGAATAGAAATAAATCTAAATATAATATATAATATCTGAAAATTGTATATATGCATGTCCCACCTATTTATAAAACTAAATCTGGACCTCTCAAAAAGGATCGACTGGGAAAGGATCACGCTCTCGCAGAATACCAGTGTAAACTAGTAGCTAAATTCAGCTGTTTCGTGGTGAGTGTATAGAACCGTTGACCGTTGTTATTGAAAACGAAGCATACCATCGTAGTCCTCAAGGGTAACAACGCTGCATTTTGATACTTAATTATAATGAGGATAGATGTAGATGTCTATGGGCCACTGCAGCCATTTACCATCAGGTGGACTGTGTACACGTTTCTCACCCCTACTCTTACGTTGCGCCTGAAGAAGTTTTACTTAAAAATTAACGTTTTGAAAAAGATAGCCTTGATTAATTACGAATTGGATATGACATAAATAACGACCACACAACGTATATTTACCAACGACTTTTAGTTTTCCTCCACAACCCTCTTATTGATTTACCTAGCAGTTGTAACAACACTAATACAATCTATACAACTAAATAAAATTGAAGTGTCTGTTTGTAATGTCAAAATAATAGCTTTATACTAAATGCACATGAAAGTATATACGGTACTTATAACAAAGACACAATTTTTTAAAATGTTTGTCTGTCTGTCTGTTTGTTTGTTCCGGCAAATCTCCGAAACGGCCGGACGGATTTCGGCGGGATTTTCACTGGCATATAGCAGATGTTATAGGGAATAACTTAGACAACTTATATGTCAGAAAAAGAATTAGGGTCCGCGCAACATAATTAAAACTCTAAATTACACGCGAGCGAAGTCGCGGAGAACAGCTAGTCTTTATATACAAGAACAAATATTAAAAAGGTTTTGTAAGTATAACTACGAGACAGGTTCCAGCATGTTCCTGGTAATATAAATAATTATAAAAGACTGTGTTTGCCAACACGACTGTCAAGCGTGGCAACTATGGTAGCATCACCCCTATGAATCAATCTACAATCTACAAGGGTCAGCTATGCTATATTTGATAAGCTGTAATGAATGAGTGAATGGTATCATTATAAGTAACATTATATACACATTACATGTATAAATCAGTGTCATCAGCCGTTAGTATTCCAACACTGTGTTAGTTTCTTCCAAGAAAAACTAATAAAATAATAAAAATCTTTGAAAATTAGGTACCTGCCAAATTTGAGTTAACTGTAGTTGTTACTAAGCCATGTGCTGGTTTCATTTTTGTACCCTTTTTGCTATATATGTATCAGTAATTCCATAATAGCTTATTATTAATTATTGCTTACATGACCCATGAAATAGTTCTTTCAAATTCCAAAGGACAAGGTAGAGCCACGTTTGACCTGTATGCTGTATGGATGCAGAAAGTATGGGTCGGCGCGCACAGAAAAAGACCACACTCTCACAGAATACAGTTATAAAATAACAGCATGTGGCTATTTCGTATAGTGAGTGCTGGTGGCAGACTGGGGCATTCCATCGTAGTCTATGTGGGTGCCTGAGAGCAACCACTATTATGTGAACTATGTGCTTGTTTGCACCCTTACCTCGATAAAAAAGATGTTAATGGAATAACTAGATTTGATAGTACCTACCCCAAAAACTGATCGGAGATAAAAGTTGAATATCGAATTTTCTTATTGATATTGTAGTATTATTTGCCGACATTAGAAAATTATAATATAAAAATAAGTGACTATGAATTTTGATAACAATTAATTTGCTACTTACTGGTAACTTCTTACAAGAGTCGATGTACACACATAAGACAGCAGAGCTTAAGTCGCCAGTCTTAATCAACTGCGTTTCAGTTAGAGCCTAAAAATAAAAAAGCCATTAAAATGTCTATACTATATCTATAGTATGAAAAGCTTGTGTTAGAAATCGAACGAATCTACTTTAGTTCTTTTTTTTTTTTAGTTTTGTGGTCAGTACTAACTTAATAATAGTAACTCGATGGCTGGTTGCTAAGCTAGCACAGTTGCAGTGCACTGTAATTAGTAAATATCTAATATCGGGTTTTAAAAACGCTTTATTTTCTCTTACAGACTGTTTTGCAGTACATGAATTGCATGAAAAACCCTTTATGAAAAAAAATACCTTTTCGACAACTTACCGACCGCTCAAATATGTTCAATTTTAAGTTATCTAAAGTTGCCTAACAAATAGTGTGTAATAAAAACTCGAAACTCTGTAATAGAAACTATAGGAATCAGTTCTATCACACACCGGTTTTTAATCGACTTCAAAAAAGAGGAGATAATCAATTCGATTGTATTTTTTTGTGAAAAGGTGCGATTATATTAAATACCAGCAAAATCGAATGGCTTCGTGATAGAATGGCAATATAACTAACGCGTTTACGTCACATGTAAAATATCTAGGCCGGCGACAAAGGAGCGAGACGTCTGGTACTGTGATCGTCAAACCACCTACCTAGCTTGAAAATAAAAGCAAATCTCCCAACAACAAGAAGCAAGGCTAATATCATCAGACAAGCAATCCACCAACGGACTTTTACGAAAAAGCGAAAGAAGGGGATAATTAAAATAATCTAGATATTAGGGTTCTTTTTTGCCTAAAAAACGTTACCGCCTAACTTATTTCCGCCGTTTAGCAGCAATGCACCCAACCAACTTGTATCACCTGCACTGTTAGCATGTTTGTCACTTTAATATCATATAAGTAAAACTTACGTGGCTCAGATCGGCCAAGTCAGTTGACAATCTGTGCCAGGAAAGGCGGAGGTGCACCTTTCCGTGTTTAGCTTCCTGAAGTGTTTGCCACTGAAAGAACAATTTTACATAATATAATAATAATATATATGGTCAGTCCATTCTTTTTTAACTAAAGTGAAACAGAAATAAGTATTTTGCAAGTATTCAGTATGCATTAAGTTCAGTTTCTTTATGAACAAAACATTGTATACTTGCAAAATATACAATGTTTTGTTCATGAAGAAACTACTAAGTCACGAATGCATTTTACAAGGTTCCGTCTACAATATCAATGTAATTTTTTTTTTAGGAAAAACCTACTCTTAGGAAAAATGATTAAAATTCATAAGGTTCAGAAGTATTACATAGACTCTATCTTACCGTATCCAATCGACCAGCTCGAACTACTTGAGAAATATCTAAGGAACACCTGAAAATAATAAATATAAACAAAATTATACATATAAACAAATCAGTTTTATGATACATATAATATTATATATCTTACATTGTTATAAATTACGGAAAAAAAATATAACACCAATGAAAGAAAAATATTAGTGTTTTAAACACATTCTTGAACACTTAAGAAGTTAGTGTAATTATTTAAATTTTAAGCTAAGCAATTTTAATTGCATGGTTAAAAAGCACAGTTGTTAGTCTATAATTATTTTTACTGAATAATAATTTAATATTAGAAGAAAATGTTTAAAATTAAATGTACATAAAATCATGAAGAAAATTTAAAATGTGAGAAAATCCGGTGTAAGATGAGTATAGACGAAAAATAAATCTTGAAATGTATTTATATAAAGATTATCAAGACATTTATATTTTACAAATGTGTGCGCATCTTACAAATAACAATAGTTTTATTTATCTAGACAAAACAATGTAGTGAAATGTGGCACTGAAAGAAGTGTAGAGATTAGTAATAATAAAATTAATATCCAAAATGAATGTGCCTAAAAGTTAGTATTTTTCGAAAAGATTTTACTTATACGAGGGTACTATACCGTGACAGTCAATGTCAAGCTTCGGTGCAATGTGTTGGTTTTAGTAACATCGTTGTTTTTAAGTGGATTTTAGTATGAGTAGGGTTGCTAGGACGCCTGCATTTTCCAATGTTTTTAATTGACATGATCAATTTTTTTATATTATATTAAAATTATCACCTTCATTGTTTTTTCCGTATAGTGAAAGTATTTTTAATGCTTTCATATTTTTTTTAAATGAATGTAGAAATTTTTCCTACGTTGTGGAGGCATACAAAGGTAAATTTCACATGGAAAAATTAATAATTTATTTAATACATTCTCTTTTCTACATAGCAAAACGTACCCAACAACCCAAATTCTATTATTCATATGAAGTCCATTCCTAGCGGAACATTCCTAGATGATTCGCTACAGTGCGTGCGTAGAGTTTTCGTTTCATAACAGACCTGCCCAGGCGTTCGTCTCTCCCCGCGCGATCCCAGTCGAAAAGCTTGATGGTGACGCGGGTGGCGCTGCTATGCAGCATTGACTGTCATAATCCACTTCATTTAGTTACGTAAATACAAAGCGGTAAAATTAAAATCAGTTGCCATGTTAATATTTAAGCTTTTGCTCAGTAGGCTACGGCTACATATGTACTATGTACATTTTATTAGTTAGTATACATTAGTTAGAATCTACATAGTGGTATGTATTACCGTTATTACCCGGTACTTTTCTACTTGGTTCGATCTCCTAAACACCTACTTTAGTGCAACCAAAAATCCACACGATATTAAAAACACTAAAACTGATAAAATTTTGTTAAGTAATGGCCCAACACTGATGAGTCCTTATATCATCTTGGTGTATCTTATATCTATGCAAATATCATTACCAAATTATAAAATAAAAAAAAATCTAATTTCCCCGTACATCAAGTAAACAATCGTATGTTCGGATGATATGAAGAATCATGTGATAAACACTCAAACAACACTAACTGGGACATCACTACAGTGTAATGGTCGATTGACGGCGGAAACGGACCTGCCGAGAAAATCATCGTTCCGTATTCCCATTCCTGGATCCCAGTCCCACAACTCGCACTGCAGCACCTGGCTCTTCCTTGAGCTTAAAATTGCCTTAGGACAAATTTCACATTATTATTAGGTACAACTGCTTTATTCCTATTACCTTTAAATAAATTTGGTTCAAAACTAGAAAGAATACTTATTGTACATACAAATCACCACTTCTCCTACTTTTTGACTATTATTAGCCAGTGCTTGATTACTTTTCGACTTGATGGTAAGTAGGGATGTAGCCGAAGATGGTAAAATACGCTGACTAAGCTTAACAAAAGCCTAGGTATTAACTTTTGCTTTTAAAACACCCACATTGTAACACAGATGTTGGCAAATTATTGCACTCCTTTGCTGTACACTCAGGAACGACGCAGCAAACCCGGTGTTTCGAATGCGTGGTATGTCGACAACAAATGTGAGACTGGCCGAGCGTCTGGTTGTCCAATGCTGACAAGAATTAGGTCATGCAATTTCTCCACATACTTTAATAATAAAGAAAATCTATTATCATACTAGATTTGTGTTCCTGGATATATTATATTTTTATATTTAAAACATATAAAATCTCTTTTGTTCCACATTTCAGATATTTGTTGTAAACAGCCTATTTGTTTCTTGTATCAAAACAAATATTAACAAGTACAATATTTGCATGGATATATTATAACAAAAAGTCTGAAAGCATAAATTTAGCAAGCATAGAAATGAGAAAACTATATATAAGTATATTTTAAATAGTACCAATTTTCATTTATAAAATTGCGAGTAATCATAGTTGTTAAATAATGAATTTAATGTCCTCTCTTTCCCATCTTTTATAGTAATGGCAATGATTGTAAAAAGTCTCAGAGACAAAATTCAATTTTAAATATGAATTTATGATCTGAGGCTTTCTTCTCTAATCTATTAAAAAGCAAGCAATCTACTGCTAATTATACATGCCACAATAAAATCATTATCATGCACCCAAACGTAAATGTAGACGATTATAATTGACAATGACATATTTTTGTTTGAAAACATATAATAAAACAGATTCAACATGCAAATCATCTGCCTTTCTCTTTTAGAGCGTCATATCAACGATTACTTCAATGGACGAAATGAATGGAGTGAGTTCCTGTTTAAAAAACACATCATGCTCTTTGACTATTGATTGTAGTATTATTTCATTTTGGTTTTTTAATTATTTTAGATATCCACAGACTTCAATTATCAACGGGTCTGGTTAAATTTATATGGGACCGGTGTATAATTATACGTTTTTGTATAAAATCACCTAAAAAAAAAAGGTACTAAACACAGAATCGCATTGATAATAATGTTTAAAAAACAGAATTTAAAACTATAATTTTAGAAATACTTTGCAACCGATTTTAAATTATCATCGTATTACTGTGTAAGCGAATTACATAGGATAAAAAAACAGAAACTACTAAATTACTTTACTAACGCCGGAGACTCCGCGTTACATAAGTTAGTAAACTTACTTACTTACTTACTTATCTTCACGCACAATCCCTGACGGGGTAGCCAGAGAGAACAGATTGCCAAGTGTCACGATCCTTACAAACCTCTTTCCAACCAATTTTAACTGACTTCAAAAAGGAAGAGGTTCTCAATTCGAGTGTGATTTTTTTTGGATGTATGTTACGCGATCTCTTCGCAGATTGTGAACCGATTTTAACGATTCTTTTTTTAATAAGCTTTAACCTCAAGGGTGGTCCCATCAAATTTTGAAGAAAAAATTCTATCCCCCAAGGGTAGAAAATGGGGGAAAAAGTTTTATATTATACTATAGTTTAAGAAATTTCATATTATCTTCGTAGATTGAGAACCGATTTTAATGATTCTTTTTTATTAAACAAATTATACTTCAAGGGAGGGAGGGAAAAAATTCTACTCCTAAGGGTAACAAATAAATAACTCCTTTTTTAGCAATTTAAAGTCGATTTTTACTTTTTGTTAGAATTTATAATTATTACTTATAAGAGTATCGCTCTTGGTTATGATTTAGCATATTTTTAATACTATATTGTTTAAATCACTTGTAATCGTCCACCTTTACTTAAGCGTACCTACCACCAGTGCAACCGAACCGACACCTTCCAGGTTTCACTGTACCTTTGACTTACCTGCCAAGAAAGTCATCGTCGTTGCCTTCATCTTTGTCGAACACCTCTATTTCCAGTGCCTGGCTCAGCGATTGCATTATACGCGCCTTTACGCCAATCGCACAAGTCCGACGCAAACATAAGTAGAGGAAAACAAAATCATATTCACACTTTCTAGTTGATTTAATTGTTTTAGTCATTTCAAAATGTTTCACAGCGGACACCAAGAATAAGACACTAGGGGTAAAAATAAAGCAGACGATATGTTTTGGTAGAAACAACGACGTTAATCAGAAGCACTATAAAAAGATAATCAAAAATTTTGGAGAATGGCGCTTAACTTTTACTCTTAGTTTAGAGCAACTAATACATGAAATATGTAAAAAGAGTCGCATAATATGTTACATTATGATTGATCGTAGTTGTGGTTGAAGTTTGAAAGCGTTTTTACGTAGAAAAATTATGTGGTTAAATAAATAAAAAAAAAAAACGGAGAAATTAAATAAACTCCTGTATGATGAAATTAGCTTCAGGACTAATTTTCAATTGTCAGATAAAACTTACTTCTAACCAATCGAACTGAATATAAAATTCAAATAATTGAACTATTTTATTCGTACCACAAAATGTTTAAATTAAGCGACAGTAGCTACGAAATTTAAAGGTCGTTTGTTCGAATTCGCCATTTAACGACTGTCATGAACCACTTCAAACACAAGTTTACCTAGATTGCTCAATGGGAATATTAGAAGAGTTAATACTACACTGCTAATATTCTTTTTTTTTTTAATGATTTGTATATTCTAATTTATTCGATGGATAACTTTTATTTGACTATTGAAAATTAACCCCTAGTAATATAAAATTAACGTCTATGTGGGTGCAAAATATTATAGGCAAATAATTAAGATGATATCTGGGCGGCACGACAAAACGACCTTAATTTTTTTAAGGTCATTAAAATTATTTGCTAGATGAATGATAACGGCTATATAAGAGTAATTATTATAGAAGGTTCTTAGTTTAAAAAAAATATGAAAGAAGAAACAAAGTACATCTACATAAGAGTGGTAGATATAATCTGTATCATAAGAAAACAGCTCTATTGCCATTATCCTAAAAAAACAGAGGAGTACGTTTTTATTAACATTTGTTTGTAAATTTTAATGGTTGTAAGTATTGTATTAGTAGGAAACGCCGCCCGGATAGCTTCTTGAGTAATAATCGGAATCAAATAAATAGTCGACGTATTTATGTAGCTCATGCAAAAATAAATTTAGAAAAGTAAGATCTACATATTTATTACAGATAATGTTATTAGTCACGAAATGATTAAGCATAATAGCATTCCCATTTAGTCACATGTTTATTGTGCGTATAAAGAAATGTGTTGAGCGACTGCATTGGTCTCTTGCATTTTTATTGATAAGCAATCATTTAAATACATAAAATATTATAAGAAATTTTTTAGTCTCCTGAGGCCGAAAATGTGCTGACAATGTACCTACTTACCAAAATTCCTAAATAAATATCAACAAGAAACGAATGCACCCTATAATTAAATTATTCAAAAACTGAGTAATCAAATGCTATGTCATACATAATAAAATACAGACACCGATTAGTAATATTGCAACATTATTGAATTAATCAAAATTATAGGTGCAATAAAGTACATAAGGTATAGAAGACAAGTCTATGGTCAATCTTACCTCGCACCAGTAGTTCCAGCGAGGATTAACATCATTATCGATGTGTTTTGTTTTCCACTGCAGCGCACCCACTGTTATGATAGCGTACGGATCTGACTTACCCTTCCCTGTTACAAGAGTTGATATTGAGAAGATTTTGCTTTATACACATATCGCTTTTACATGATTTGTAGTTTTACTAACCTATCATTGATACATCTTTCTTCATTAAATTCTGGGCTTGGACGAGATGAATACGAAGTACACCCTGAAAATAAATTAATAGATTATATATAATTTGACTACTGGTACTACAATCGACAATCCGCCTTTGAACAGGGATAGACCTATTTCAAGCAGTGCACTTTTACGAATAGGAGATAGATTTTTATGAATACAAAAACGAATTTCGGACATTTGACTACTTTTGCCTAAGACTAAGTAGAAGTTCCAAAAAATTTAATAGTACCTAATGTTATGCCATGCAAACCAATTCGGAAGGTACATAAATAAAAATAAGGTTAACATGTGTACATACTAATTTGTTTTAGTATTTAATTTGTAATCGGAAAAGCACCGCTTATACTACTTGGAATCACTTCATACAAATGACACTTCAGAAATTAGCACAATTTTCCCATAATTCTTGATATTATTCATTACGTTACTTCTATAACAAAATTTTCATTTCAAATAAACTGTGTTAAATATAAGTATGCTTTTCTAGCGATATGTATAATGAAAGTTAAAGTATGGAATTAGCTAGGTAAAGAAAACATAGCGTCCTACAAAATCTAGTTCTCCCTGAAAATTTGGAGTCTCCTTCTCCACCCCCTAAAAAGTTAGTATGTGGACCCTTACTATGCTAACTATATATATCACATAAATATCTACGTCGAGTTACTAGTCATGTTTCAAAATATTGAAGTATTTACCTCGGGTTCTGGCATACGTAGATCAACAGTCGGTACCTCATCACTCAATTTTATTGGCAATTTGTTTGGTAATACCATTATCCTCGCAACCTGCTCGACAATACACCGACGCAAAACATCGCTGAAATTAAATTCCAAAGGATGATTTCAATTAAATTTCTTAATTGTATGACAATTTAAGGCTAACAAATAATATTTTAGTTTATTTTGTATTATAAAATACAGGAGCTTCAACCGGAACATTTGGAACAGAAGTCGCATATACCATGTATAAAACTAAGATGTAACAACTCAATGACGTTATACACTGCCGGCCAAAAGTTTAAGACCACACTTAATCAACATAATCTTTATATGTAAAAATTACGTGTCACATTGTTTTTCCGCGATGAACTCTTAAATTACTGAACTGATTTCAATTAAATGTTTCACAATGTGTGCAGTTTGGTCCAACTTGAGAGATAGGATAGTTTTTATCCCGATAAGTGATCAATTTTTTTTCATTGTGAATTTATCGATTTTTTTAGGACACATGGTCGTCGGAAAGGGCAGAACAACGTCTGCCTGGTCAGCTAGTTATCTATAAATTGTAACGAAATCCCATAAGATAAATAAAAGAAATGTACACATGCATATTCTATTGTTAATATCGAATATCTAAATAAGTCATTCTTTTATTTACTTTCAAGTTATTGGACAATGAATATGTATTGTTTTCAAACACGGACAAACGCTGTGTTAGAGCCAGGTGGTAGAGTCGTAATAATATCTTTATGATGGGCTAATAACTAATTGCTTTGCTTTTGTTTCCCATTGGTGAATAATTAGGATTATTTAGCTTCTAAAAACACGTGTTTCCAACTTATTATTACCTGAGTTAACATGGTTTTGTTCACACAAAACAATCTCAATTAGTCTAAACTTGTGGTTTCTACAGTGAAGACGTCTTAAAATGGGAAAAGCACGCGAAATTAGCAGTGAAGTGCGTTCTGCCTTCGTTGTTTTACATAATTAAGGCAAATCCGAACGTGAGATTGCTTTACGATTGAAGTTATCAAAGACTTGTGTTCATGGCACAATAACTCGCTACAGGGAGACAAGCACTTTTCAAGATCGTCTACGCTCAGAAAGGCCGAGAGCTACCACGTCAAGTGAAAATCATTTCATTGTTGTTACCAGCAAGCGAAATAGACGCTTAACAGCACCGGAAATCCGCGTTGAAGTAAACAAAACCCAAGTTAAGCCTTTATCATTGACTACAGTAAAACGGCGACTGAGAGATGCGAAATTGTATGGTCGTGTCGCCGTTCGAAAACCTCTGCTAAGGCCATAAAACAAGAAAAAACGGATGCAATGGGCACTTGCCCATCGAGATTGGACTGAACAAGATTTTTAAAAAGTTCTTTCAAAACGATGAATTTACGTTCGACGTATGACCAAGAAAAGATGATGCCAGACTGTGTAGTCCCAGCAATCAAGCATGGTGGTGGCTTAATTATTGTCTGGGGTTGCTTTTCTAGCCAAGGAACTGGCGATTTGATCAAAATTAACGGAATTATGAAAAAGGAAGAGTACAAAAATTTTTAGAACAAAATGCCTTTCCTTCGGGGTAGCGATTAATTGGAGATGGATTCATTTTCCAACAGGACAATGATCCTAAGCATAGCTCCAAATTATGCAGAGGCTGTTTGGAAGAGAAAGAGGCACAAGGGGTGTTAAAAACATGGGTTGACCTCAGAGCCCGGATCTCAATCTAATTGAACTTTTGTGGGAAGAGCTTGATAGGAATGCCCGTAATTGTGGTTCATCCTCGCGAGAAGAAATGTTGAATGCTTTGTACGAAAGTTGGAGCAATATAAAGACACTATCAACAAATTGATTGCCCGTATGCTGAGACCTGTCAAAAAAAGTCATAAAATGCAAAGGAGGATTTTTTGATGAAAAATCAGTTTAGCTAACTATAGCCTTTTTTAGCATGGACTGTTAATATTTCTCTACGCTTTTCAAGTATATTGATTATCAAAAAGTGTTTTATTGGATGATTTAACAGTTTATTTAAACATTTAATATTTTATTGGAGTTTTATTTAATTTTCCTACTTTAATTAAAGTGGTATTAAACTTATGGCCTGCAGTGTATATATTTATCTAAAATAAATATTCTTATTTTGAGTTGTTGTTTAGTTGTTGAGTTGTTTAAATTGTAGCTGTATGCAAGTAATTCGCTGTAGAATATTGGTGTATTTGTTGCGTTTATTCTAATATGCTAGCATAATTATGCTAAATAATAACAATAAGAAGGCATTTAGTTGCTCAAAACAAACAAAGAAAAGTGGCACCGATGACTATGACTAGTCCTAAGAAAATTAGAATTAACGCAACAAATACACCAATATTCTACAGCGAATTACTTGCATACAGCTTTTTGAATCGTTATCTATAATTCACAAACCGGGTCAACTGATTCACTAACCAAAATCGTGGACCACCAGGATATATGGCCTAATCAGTCATGATTAGGCTGCCATACATCCCGGTGGTCGACCATTATCATATAACAAGTTTTACTGAAACTAACATAAATCTGGCGGCCAATAAGATATTCCCGACGTTAAAATTAAACGTGATAAAATCTATTAAATTAGTTTCATTTAATGTGTAGTATTCGCGTAAATATAAGAAATCAATAAGTGGTGACAGGGAGCAGCATTATCAGTGTAAGAGTATGGATAGTACTTATCAACCGTCCAGACCAATGTGTATGTTATGTATATGTATACTACAGGTGGATCAATCAAAATACAAAAAATGTTGAATATGTCACTTGATATTTCATGGCCGACTCACACAAAAACGGTTATATTTATTTACTAGCTGTGCCCGCGGCGTAACTCGCGTATATAGGTTTTACTTAAATAATTTGACGTTTAGTTAAGAGAATATTACCTAAACGATTTATATCATTACTGTATCAATAAGTGGTAAGAAATAAATCGTTATCCTCAAAGTTCTAAGTCGTTTATGATAGAGCTTCTGTGTAAACGACGTTAGAAGTATACAGCCGGGGCGTAGGTACACAAATAGGTTATGGGGCCTACTAACGCGGGAAAAAGCAACATAGAGTTGGCCATGTGCAAAACAGTTAGTACTGAGGTCCACTCCTGTAACGCGTAAAGTTTGACCTTGCGCTTTATTTACGGTGTTCGCATAACACACGCTGACTGGGAACTGAACACGCTTAAAACTGAAAGGAAAGTTATTTGGGATTAGAGGGATTCTGGGTATAAAAACAATATTACGACATTTTGTTGCAATTTTGTTAGATTTTAATCGAGTTTCGTTGCATAGCTTGGGTGGGCGTGTTTCTTTTCTGGTTTCTGGTGATGTTTGTGCTGTTAGCCTACACGGCTCTTTTAACTTCATCGTACTCATGGGTACAAATTTCTTCAGTGAGTCTCAATACGATTAAAAAAAGCGAGAAATCGTAACACCGCAATTCTTTTGTTTTCTTTTGCGCCCAAAGCGAGGCTACATCTGGAAGCGGGGGAGGGAGGTGGTGAATGCTCATAGCATACCACGGCAGCCAGCTGCGTGGTTATGTGGGACTCACTTTGAAGAAGTGCCTACCCACTAAACACCACCTGTGGGACTGGCGTTGGCCATTATGGCCTTCTTGCCGAATCCGAAGCGACCCCCTTTAGGAAAAAGGGGCGCCACCGCAATTCAGAAAAAGTTGTAATTTATATATATACGTTCTTTGTGAGAAAACATCCTTTTTTAATTTAAGGAAAGCACGTTTTTTTACACACGAATCTTTTTATTACTATTTCTCAGTTTTATGGCGCCTTTAATCAGATTCGAACCTAGATTTCAAAATAAGAATCATAACTTTCGATAGAATTAACCAATTTTAATAAAACAAAGATTAAAAATGAACTCGAATATACGCTTTATGATTTTCTTAACAACTTCTTTGCAAAAAAGATGTTTACTCAAAACGTTATGCGTTCATAATCAAACAGACAGACCGACAGACAGACAATTCTAAATGATATAAAAATGTACTTATTTAATGATTTTCAGTCCCCATAATGATTTTAGGCACAAACATACCTACTATACAATGTACATAAACAGACACAACATATTATCACCATGTTTATTATATGTATAGATTTAAAGAGAGATGGCGCTGTTAACATCAATTATAAAAATAAAAGAGATTAATTGACGCAATTGATACATTATATAAAACATAAAAACACTTATAAATCAGTGCGTGCATAGTAAGCAAAAATAAAAGTTTTATCCTAGCCGAAACCAACGAAATTGTTAATAGCTCTTTTAAAATTTTATTTACCAATTAGATTACTCGGCGGTAAAGAATAATTGAGTTTGTCAACACGCAGTAGGGCAACGATTAATATAAAGATTAGCAGTAAATATGAAAACTCATCTACAGGAAAAAACCACAACCTGCCTTTTTGTATTACATTTTTACAACACTGCCATCTATCGATGAAATTGGTTAACTATTGTACTTTAGACTTAGATAATAAGATTAATATATTTTTGTATAATATACTTATTACGTTAGTTTTCTTTAATACTTTTGTTTACTGCGTTTTAGATATAATTGTATCATTATAGAACATCATTTAACATAATTTAATTATGATTTATAATATGATATTAGTTTAAAATGCACTTGATGACTCAATCAACGCCACCATTGAACAAATTCGTACATATACCTCGTACCCGTACTTCAGAATATTTATCATAACTATTGATGGAATGAACTGATTTTAATGAAATAAAGACTAAATGTAACCTGAAGATACACTTTATAATTTCCTTAACGATTCTCATAATATAAATTAGTACTTTATATGTGATACGTTAACAAACAAACAGACAGACAGACAATTCTAAAAACGGTAGAAATGTATTTAATTACTTATTTTTAGTATCTCTCACTTTTATTACAAAAGTATAAAATGTACAGACGTCTGCTATTTACATTTTTATTATATGTATAGATAAAATAAAAACTATAATACTATGTTTATACTGTGGTACCTGTTGGTACCTTGTGGTGTTGTGGTACACAACACCACAAGGTACCAACATAATAAGTCATGATTGGCAATATTGCATGTGGCATTATAATATTATTTTATTAAACCGATTTAGTATTATTTATAAATTTAGTTCAGAAAGTTAAAAATATTCACATGGATTAAATTTTATGGTAAGCAGCAGGCATAAAATATTATTTTGAAGTGACATTTTTTATAAAGTTTAAATGGTATTTATCAACATTACGGAATTGAAAGTTGCGAATGCGAGCCGCAAGAAACTTTCAGCCTTTTCCCTTCATTAAACAAGAAAATTAGATATGAGGCATTCAGAAATATAAATTAAAACAACGCACCTGAAACCAGGCATGTCCAATACATCCGCAGCGCCGACTAAGTTGAAGTCAATGGAGGGATTGTTTAGAAAAAATACTTGTAGTCCTCCCACTAAAGGCAACTTGGTGATTAAAGGCTTCATCACTATACGTGCCATACCATGAATCTGTTAATAAAATCCAAATATAAGATGAAATGCTTCAATAAAATACACATTCTTTATTTTTTTAATAGACATTCTTTATTTATTAATAGTAAGAATGATTAACAACAAACCTATCAAAATTAAACGTTATATTAAAATAATAATATTTTGTATATTATTATAATATAAGGGGTGAAAGGGGGAAATACCAAAGTTCGTTTTATATATATTTTATATAAATATAATACTAGGCAGTAAATGTATGTATATAATATATATTTGAAGAGGGTGATAAAAGTATCGGCCACAATGCTACCCTAGCTATTTAAAAAAAACTAAGAAATAATTTATTTATACGGTATATTAATTTCATTGTAAGTACAAAAATCTCGCAAAAACTCGAAAATGGCTGGATCGATTTTAATGATTTTTTGTGAAGGTTTGAGTGGGTCCCTTGATGATCTAAACGATTTACAATTGGACCCAGTAGGTGGCGCTGTTATCGAGATCCAGAAACCACACGTGCGAAGACGGGACGGATCGCTAATGTTTAATAAAATATTGGATAGTTACAGATCGTATAAATCGAGTTTTTTTTTCTGAAATCTGAAAGTAAAAGTACGATATAAAAGTAGCTTCCCTTTTATATCGTAGGCATCCACTAAGGATTTTTAAAAATTCAGCCTCTAATAGGGTGTTACATTTTGTATGAAAATTTTTGTTTTACGGGGCGATTGACTCGAAACTTACTGAAAGTATTCTGTAAATAAAATAAATGAATACGAGAATTTCGAGATTTTTCTAAGCAAAGTCTTAGAGGCGGCAAGGATGTGTTCAGATTTGTATGGAGACAAAAATAAACGCTTTTCAAAAGTGGTGCAAATACTCTTATCTTTTTTTTCTAAGTATTTCTAAATTCAAAAATATTTAAAACGATAGTGCAAAGATAGCGTGATTTTTTTTAAATTAGGGGCAGCCCAAAGCCCAAACCAACCATTAGACGTAGAAGCGTGAGATTAAGACAAAAGCTTCTTTTTATTACGTCCGCTTAGACATGGTTTTGGAAAATTCAAACCATTAGAGGGTGTAAATTAAAGTGTTACAGTTTATAGGATACTTTGTATTACGATGCTGTTTCATTTTTGTATGATAAAAAAAATATAAATTATTACTTTTAGCTTAGTTGAATATTAAAGGCATTCGTCTAACTTTAAACTTGCGATCATTATCATTCCGAATTGAGATTGTTTACATGTTGTAAGATAGCTTGAGCGTTCCGTACTATACGATCTCATAATAAGCGTGGGTGGTGACTATATGGACGTTACGTATACGTTACGATATGGACGCGGGTAACATCGTGGGGCGAAAAGCTAGTTTCTTATATTAGAAAACAAAAGGAAGTCACAAGATGCCAAGACAGGGCTAAAAAGGATCATAACCGGTATGTGCTATGTAGGAAAACCTAGAACCGGTATGTGCTAGATCTCGATGTGTCCGCCAACACGCAACGGGGTTTCGCAGCAGATATTTCCTTGCCCTAAAACCCTTTCAGAAATGAGAGAAGGTCTGTGCCTGAAGTGGGACGTATATAGGCTGTAACTTTACATTTTATTTTTATGCGATTCCGGCAAATAATTGAACTGAACAACTGTAGCAGCTGTTTAAGCTGTGGACTTTTTCGGGCTGATGAAAAATGAAAAAAGGTAAAGAACCATAAAAAATTGACTGCATACTACAATATTCGCTTGACATTATTTCATTTGTAAACTTATTTTTCTTTTTATCGTTCAAAAATCGTAAATGCAAAGATCCACTAAACGGGCATTTTCACTATTACGGTAATTTTAAATGAATTATTGTGTAGGTGGGCCACCATTCTATTTTGCCGACTGTATCTACGAATTACATTACCTATATTATAGAACAGAGTCAATACCTGTAGATCTTTTATTCCACCACGGATACGTTGCAACACAAATGAAATGTCACAATCACCGGCATAACTGAAATAAAAATGAATTGTTCATATTAATAACACATCACATCACAACAGCGTTTTTATTGTAATTTTTTTCTAGGTATGCCATTAGCGTTCAGTATACTCCATAATCTTGCAGAGTACAAAGATAATTAAAATTGACCGATAGTTGGCAAGGTCGGCACGGCTAGCCTTTTTAGACACAGGCTGCACATTGGCTAGCTTCCAAGATATGGGCACCATTACAATTATAAATTAGGCGAAACAATCGTGTCAACGCAGGAGACAACTCACACAAGTCAATAGAACTATAGCTGGTATACCACGTAGGTCTCTAAATTTATTCACGTCTAGTCTAGACCTCGCAAGGTTTTTATAAACTCTTGTTAATTATACGACTTTCGACAGAGGTACCCCAGTAAAGTAATTGACGTGGAACGCTATTGCTATTTGTGTGGACGCGAATTACAAGCAAGAGAAGCAAACAATTTCGCTTTCTCCATAGCCGCTAGTGAGCCATCGGATTTTATGAGTGGAGGCAGTGTAGACAGGCAGAAGTTTGTTTCGGCCACTTTGGTGACAGAAAACTTTACTGCCGTATTTTAGCAGAGCGCTTTTTGACTTTGCTCCGATGTGTTTAATGCGACCGAAACTGGCTTGCCGTAATGTATTTTACAGGACTTGGCGACTTGGTTAAAGGCTCTCTTTTTGTCTTGTTTGTCGAGGAGCATCGACCCACGATATATACAGGAGCATTCGACGTAGAACCATGGGCGAGCTTTACCACCGATGGGTACGTTAGCAAAGGGGATGAAATACTCCATCGCTTGACATATTACATCGATAATAGCATCCGCGAGTTTCAACGGATCATCATCGAGAAGCAATCCTTCAATCAGGAATAAGATGCAAAGAAATGTCATATATCATCTCAATCTTTTGACTTGTATAGACACATTCGCGCACACCTTAGAAAAATGACATTTAGGTATGTATCTTAATAACATCTCAAAAATATCAACATATTACCTTTTCACGCACATTTCTTCCTTAGCAAGTACAAATCCTACCGAGGGACAGAACTTTTATATCTAATAATATGCTGCATTTTGAAAGCAACCTTTGTTATCTGAATTATACTAAGACATGACATATAAAAAAAAATGTTGTTTAAAAATTGTGCCTTATTTTAATTTCTTTTTTCCTGATGTTATAATTTACTTTGCCATGTGTTGTCATTAATATCATATAATCGTTTTTCTTTGAATCGTACATACCTTACCCGATATTATTTCTCAAGAATTTTAAAACTTACAAACAAAAACATTTCACAGACATTACGAGTACAATAAAATAATGACGCTTAATAATTAGGTGATTAATGTTAAGAGAAGTATAAACAACATTGTGTGCTAGGAGCTCTACCTGTATGACATGAACAACAAAGATTGTACTTACAACAAGTCAACATCCATAATGATTTCATCCCTTGACAGGTTCTTATCATATACCTTCACGCCACCGACACGAGGTGCCTAAAATTTTAAGTACTATATTATCATATTCAAATGACAAATAATTTCATACTGTAAGCTCACATATTGATAATTTGTACAATTTTATGACTTACAATTGTGCCAAGTATCACTCGTTCAAATTTAAACCCATTGAGTTTATAATTGGCCAGACTTTCTGCAACTGCTGGCTCGATCGACTCCTTTAATATGGTTTTGGCGTAATGATTCACGTTGGGCCAAACTTGTAACAGTATCTACAAGTGATATTTTTTATGTAATAAAATATAAAAATATAAAATGTGCATCGGTATTTTAAGAAAATACACATAATTACCCTGTTTAGCCATTCTGCACGTTCAATGTCAGGAAAGAAAACCTAAAAAGCAAACATAATAATATTCATAAAACATAGATAATATTCATATAAAAATGTATATATCTTTTACAGGGTGTCAAAAATACTTAAAAAAAAAATTCTGTGGCTTCGCAGTTCCACTATCATGATATGTTGCACTATAAGCTTGATTCCGAAAGTTTTTTCGTCTAATTACAATACAAAGTACAATGCAATACAATATGCAGGCGATTGGTAGTTTGATATAATATATTCTTAAAATGATTAACCTATTCATGTTCAATTGCTTAGCTTAATTATAGGTTGATGTAATTCTAGACTCTCACGAGATAATAATCCAAACTGGATTGGTCTCGGCAGACTGACTCCCGGCTTACAAGGATTTATTTACTCAGTATTATTTTTACAATAAAGTTTATAAGAAAAAAGGCGCAAAGATGAATAATGCGTCTTAAATTAGGGGCTAACAATAAATTCAGCAAAGTGAAGAGAAGTACGGAAGTTTCATACGAGCGTACGCAACGAAACGAAACAACGAAAGAAAATAACGCGCTGCCCGCGTCGGCAGTACTAAATGTCACGTTATTTTCTCAGTTTTAAAAAAAAAACCACAACTTGTACACAAAGTGTCACATATTTTAAAAGCAGTCCTTTGCAATTTTCAAAAAACAAAACGATAATTTTCTTAAATTGAAGATAGATTTTAAAATTTTCTAAAACTAGAAATTTATTAATTATTGCTGTGACTAATTAATAATGCGAAAATTTGGTACACTTAAAAAATAAATTAAAAGGTCCATATAGCCCAAACCACATTTATTTATAACATACAACCATCACAACCAATCAATATGATTCTGATTATTTTAGTTAGAAAACTAATCAACTAAATGTTAATTGAGTGGAATATTATAAAATATACTACCCATTTTTTATACGTGGTAGAGCCATGCTGCAGGTAGATTAGTAGTATAGTTGTAGCACGAATGGGTCGGCTCGACCGGGGAAGGACCACGCTCTCACAGAATACCAGTGTAAAATAGCAGCTTAATGCTGTTGTGTTTCGTATGGTGAGTGTAGAGTACCGGAGACCCTTTTTACTGGAAAAGAAGCATTCAATCTTAACCTTCACGGGTGACAACGCAGATGTCTATGGGTCACAGCAACCACTTACCATCATGTGGACTGTGTGCTCGTTTATCACAACCTATCCTATAAAAAAAAATACTTAAGATTTTATATACCTAATACAATGTCGTTTTTTATTTTATTATTAGCCTGTAAATTCCACGAGTCACGTCTGCCTCCTTCGCCAATGGCGATTACGGTTTGCGAAAGAAGTATCAGACTGTTGATATAATGAAATAGTTATATCGCAGTAATTCGCCGCCATGTGATTTTCTGGGTATAATTTCTTCATTTTATTATAGTAGTCTTAAGGCATCCTCAAGATGTGATTGATTATTTCTCTACACCTACACTTTCACTACATACGCTATCTTATATTTTTATTTCTTCGCCAAAACAGGCTTCACGTTTCTGGGAGTCAGTCGAACGATACAAAGATGCTTGAACTTTAAGATCTTCTGCCAAAACTGTACAGAATAACATGTTTGAATGTTCAAATATTTATTTGTTACTAGCTTATGCTCGCGACTTCGTCCACGCAGATATTATACTTTAAACCAATTATACTTTACAATTTTTGCACCGTACGCCAAAATAGCTCGCAGATAACAGATTTTATCCGACTTACTAAACACTTATTGTAATATTTTGACCAATTTACACATCTTTATTAGTTATAGCCTATGCGTTGTTCTGATATATGAGCTATATTATTATAGTTTCATTAAAATACATTCAGTAGTTTTTGCATGTAAGAGTAAAAAACATCCATATATCCTCACAAACTTTCACGTTTATAATATTAGTAGGATATTCATTCCATTGGAATCATTCAATTACAACAAAAAATAAGGAAATCGAGTTCTATAAACCAACCTCTCTTTCAATAATAAATAATAGTAACTCTATAGAATAATCCTTCTAGATCAGCTTTTTCCTTAACATAGTTACTAACTAGAACAACAAGTGCTAACAAGTACAAGAAATGTTTTAGTAATATTACTAAACATAATCTAGTGAGTACTTCTGTGATAACTACACGTAATGTTACCTAAACAAATAATAATATAAAATTTTGAACAACCGATTTCAATACAAGTTATTAAGAATAACTCAAAAACTATAGGTCAGACCTTGATCAAATTTATATGGGACCACATGAGAAGCATCAGCTTTCAATTAAAAAAAGAATCGTCAAAATTGGTTCACCCAGAAAAAAATTTATGAGGTAACACACAAAAAATAAAAGAAAAACATTCAGTTAAATTGAGTACCTCCTCCTTTTTGAAGTTGGTAGAAAAGAAATCACATGCAACATGGTAAAAATAATGAAGGTAATATTTTACACGACCTTTTCGCTTTTAAATCACTTAACTTTGAGATTGAATAAATAAAATAAATTAAAAGCAAACGCCGACTTGACACAACTAAAAAGAATCAAATAATTTCACATTCTGAGGTCGGTACAAAGACGAGTGAAATTATTTTAAGTAAAATTATTTCATTGTATTTAGTAATTTGAAGTCGGCGTTTATTTTTTATTAAAAGTTATTTTTTACCATTTTGGGCGAACTAAAGGCGGCTACTGACATGCCTGCCGCAGGGGCAATCTAGGGTGTAGGAGTGGGGATGACCCTTATTTGCCTCCTTAATTGTGATGTGTGTAGGCAAGCAGGGGCAATTTTTTAAATCGGCTCTGCAGCAGGGCGGTATGAGCGCAAGACATTCCTTGCTCACTAGATGGGCCCTGCCGCTGTCGCGTGTGTAGCGGAATTGGGGCAATTTCAATAAGTTCGTTGCGACTTTCACGCGGAGCACACGTATTAGTACAAGTCAAAACCGCAGAAAGAATGTTATTTGAACGTTGTAACTTACAAGTAACATTACTGGGATTTGTTACCTATCTTATCATAAGGGCTAGTATGGGAAATAAAATATTCCAATAGTAATAAAATTGCTGGAATATAAATAAAATGTCATTAACTAAATAATTAAACAAAAATACAAATTTTAGTAATTAAATTTATTAAAACTCATCATTAGAAAACTATCCTGGTTATTTGTAACACTAGTTAAGTTATAGTTACTAAGCACTAGTTAGTTAAGTTATATCACAGAATAAATTGGTTATATTAAATTATGACGAGTGAAGTTAGCCATATTTAATGATTTCTTATATTTACGCGAACACTACACATTGAATAAAACTATTTTTACGGATTTTTTAATTAAACGCGATAAAATCCGTAAAAATAGTTTTATTCAATTAGCCATATTTAATTGTCTTTGATAGCCTAAAAATAGCTTGGCAGAGCTATATTGCAGCTTATAAGCACTATATTATGTATGTAATTATTAATTAATTGTTGTTTTATTGATAAATGTGGGTGTCTATGGGCCACAGTGTCCACGTTCCATCAGGTGGACTGTGCTCATTTGTCACCCTTATTCTATATAAAAAAGAGCGAAGGCTATATATACTATTTATTGTTATTTCGATAAAACTGGCGCCATTCTCAACGCGTGCGTCCAGTGAGACGTACACTTACATACTGAACGGCAGGCGTGTGTATAGAGACAGTTCCGATATTGCGCCGATCGCTGTGCTCCCTAGATTGCGCCTGCGGCAGGCATGTCAGTAGCCGCCTTAAGGAATATCACAATCTCAATGTCGTCTGATAGGGGCTACACACGATCACTTTTAGCTGTCAGTTTTGACTAACCAGTTTTAACTGACAGTAAAAACTGACGTCCTTTGCACACACACACGTTCAGTTTTAACTGTTCTCTTTGACCACAAACAACATTACCATCTCAAGATGTTATCAGCCGACGACGACGCTTTAGCCGTGCTTGGTTTATTAATAATTTTAAAAAATAAAAATAAAAAAAACGATTTGACTTTCAAAACTTCTTTTTTGAACGTGCAACGCAGTGTGTTAATTTTACTTTTCACTGTATCTATAGTTGCCGTAGAGTCAATTTCTTTAATTTTTTCTAATAATACCTTGTAAGCTGCTGATTTCCTTTCTCGGTCATGGTACTCCTTACTTTTATTCTGCCATAAGCAAGGTTCATTCCTATATAATTCTATAAACTCGGCCAACCACAGTCTTTGCGTCATTTTTCTGCGTATGCGAAGAGAATAAATATGTACAGACCAGTTTCTTTTTCGTGATCGCAACACGACTGAAGAAACACCGCCTACACACGTACAGTTTTAACTGATCAGTTCCGTCATTTCAGTTAAAAAATATGTATCAACAATATATCATCAGTTTTAACTGATAATAAAAAAACTGACAGTTTTCATCGTACACACACTCAGTTTTCACTGTCAGTTAAAACTGGTCAGTCAAAACTGACAGTTAAAAGTGATCGTGTGTAGCCCCTATGAATCGAACTATCATTAAATAGTTCATCCTATTATGTCACCCTTAGAGTTAATTTTTGTTCCAAATTTATATAATAGGAATATTAACCTAATTAATTAAAAAAAAATATCATCAAAATCGGTTCACAGTTGTATTATATATTATTACGTATAATACAAAAAAATCAAAACAGTTGAATTGTTAACCTCCTCCTTTTTAAAGTTGTGACCTTCAAGTTCATGCTTTTATTTAAGATGAAAAATAAACGAGTTCGCCTGATTACAAGTGGATGCTGTAGCCCATAGACATCTACATCTATCCTCGATTAGGAATCAAAATGCTGATGCGTTGTAACCCCTAAGGCCTAAGTGGAATGCCTCGTATCCAGTATATAAAGGGTTTTTGAGTCTTTATACTCACCATACGAAACAGCCGCATTAAGAGACATATTTATAAATTCATAGTAATATTATTTTCTTTTAAAAGAAAACTATTTTACCTGAATGATGATACATGTACATTATTTAAACAAAATGATACAATATTGAATAACATATTAATGGTAACTGTTTTAAAAATATCGGTAAATAATGTTTATCAAGATCTTATAAGTTACATTAAAACCAGCAATTTCTTTGGATCTCATCTTGTTACTCCGAGTGAAGCTTAACACTAAACCCTTTAGATCTTAAATGTACTCACCCACAAAGACTGCCTCAATCTTAATTCGAACAGGATCACTTCAATCAAAGCAGGAACATCAGAGAAATTTAAATAGATATTCGTATATTAGTCAATTACTTACATTTCTGCGAGGTGCACTGAATACTACTACCAGAAAATTATGTTATTTCAGTTATTTCATTATATTTAATTGTTATGATCAGTAAATCATTTTAAATTTATAGCGTACCCAAGCGGGAAGGTCATCAAGTCTTGCCAGAATAATGTCTTTTTCAGAAGAGACTGCGGCGGCCTTGGCCAAATTTCTACGGTATTCATTCTCTTTTCGCCACTGGTCACGCAGGACGGATAAGACGACGGGTCCAATGAGCCATGCAACGCTCCATTGCATATAACCCACTAAGTACACAACACCAACAATTGATACCTGAAACAAGGACATGCAACAATAACATTCTTATGTAAACGACGTTAATAATTCACCTTCAGAAATACTCATGAGTCAGTTTTCAATCATGGCAACAACGTCATAATTAGCAATGGCTAAAAATAAAAACAGATTAGAAAACATTATGGAACCGGAAGTGTACATGCAAATATATCGGTTGATCAAGTGGATGAGTTTGTATATTAAGTATGTATGTTTATCAGGGATAATAGACGTGACAAGAATATAGAATAATGAGTGAATGCAGGACACAAAGGAAATGGGGCTCTTCTCTCCTATATTATGTGGGATGTCAGGATATGTCAAAAAAGGGCATGAATGGCAACATACAACACTGTGTTAGTTTGATGTGGCAGAAAAAACACAAGATTAGAATTAATGCTGTAGATGTGCGGTCACTAAGGAGTAGGATATGGGTGTCTCTGAATAACATGGTGAGAAATTGTGTGATAAGAGAAAAGTGTTGTTGGCAATAAGATGTTATGACCAGGATTAATATGGGTGCTTTGGTGGTTTGGTCAGGTAGAAGGAATGAATGAGGAAATGTGACAGAGCAGAATCGGCAAGACGCCCGAGACGGGATTTCACTTCACACACCAAATTGGCGATATAAAAAGGTGGGCCAAATTAAAAGTATCCTTAACCAAGCAGTATACGTCCGAGCAAGTATACGTAGATATATGGACGTGAAGGGGGCAAGAGGTGTCTCAAGATCTATGTATATGAGCACTGAGGGACCGTGCCGGGAATTCACGAAATGAATTGCTAAGGATTTAGTAGTAGGCCTAAAACAATTGTAGTACGAATCCTGGAATTTGTAAAAGGGTATATAAAAAGTTACAGCCATTAAAATGTGGTCCCTCAGTTCACACAGTCTATCAACAAGACCTCAGAAAGTATCTTAAAAATGAAGTTAATGTGACGAGACATAATATATAAAGTGTTAAAGATAAGAGTAACAAATATCTAAACTATGATCCCTCAGTCCACACTATTTTTTTTTAAACTTGTGAAAATTTCGTAAATAATTTATTTAAATCGTACTTTTATCGATTTACAAGTTTTAGTAGAAGTCTTAAAGGATTTTGTAGAAAAAGAAATAGGGCTAAATATTGGCGCGATTTAAAAATAGCTACTCTTAAAACTGTTCCCTCATTCCAGACATAAATTGTGTGCTAAATGTTTGACGAAAGGAATATAAGCTGTTGTATTAGCATCATCCAAAGATCCAGGATTCGTTCTACAATTGTTTTAGGCCTACAACTAAATCTGTAGAAATACCTTTCGCGAATTCTCAACATAGTCCCTCAGTGCTCACATACATCAAGATCGTGCCAAATGGAAGTCTGTAGTCTCTGCTTACCCCTCTCCATTACAGGCAAATATTTATGTATGTATTATAAGTATGATATATAATTTATATGACTGGTAAAGTTACAAAAAAAGTCACAGCCCTAAATACTTTGCCAAGGCTGTGCACAGGGCCTTTTCTCAAATCAAAGCAGCAATGCTCCAACTTTCTCAGAGGACAATACAGAGGAGAGAATACAAAACAGATGAGAATAAAAATACCACTAGGTCCCCAAAATTCAATATTTCAAACTGAATACCGATACATTCAGTTTAAAATATTGAATTTTGGGGACCTAGTGGTATTTTTATTCTCATCTGTTAACAACAAAGAGGTTTTATGTATATTTTTTTTAATAATTTATTTTGTTTATTTTGTTCTAGAAAAATTTCTTTTGTTTATTTGATTCTAGAAATACATTGTTAATTCAATCAATGAAAGTAAGATTATTTTTACTGGAAATGAGGCACTCCATAGTCCAACGGGTGACAACGCATCTACATTTTGATTCTTCACCGAGGATAAATGTAGATGTCAATGGGCCACAGCATCCATTTACCATCAGGTGACTGTGTGTTCGTTTGTCACCCTTATTCTATAGAAAAAAAAGCCCTAAATAATAATGTTATGAACTCAGGTTTAATGTATGAATGCTTTGAACTCATAATGATTTCTTATAACTACACATATACCTAGTCAGATCATAAGTATTGTCACACAGTAAAAACTTTTCTTTTAGAATGCTGGCCACAAAAAAGTTTATTGAATTCTAATTTCGAATTGTTTATGAAAATAAAACTATACTTTTTAGAATTTTACTCACTTTTAAATATGGAGTGGACGCTTAAAGAAGACCGTGTTGTAGTTATTGCGTTGCATCGTTGCGGTTACGTGCCAATTCAAATTTTTTATATACTGAAAAATTTGAATATAACCAAAAGATTCGTTTATCGTACCATCAAACGATACAATGAAGACTCTAGTGTAGATGATAGGTCAAGAAGTGGTCGCCCTCTGTCTGTTAGGACTCCAGCAGTGATAAAAGCTGTGAAGGCGCGAATTCAAAGAAATCCCAAACGTAAGCAGAAACTGTTGGCCCTTCAGATGGGGTTAAGAAGAACCACGGTGAAAAGGGTGTTAAATGAAGACTTCGGGCATATCGAAGAAAAACAGGACATTGTTTGAATGCTCGTCTATTGGACCTGAGACTAAAGAGATGCCGCACTTTGTTGAAGCGGTACGCGGGAAAAAAATTTTTACCGTAGAAGAGAGCTACAACAAACAAAATGATAAGGATCCGGCACACAGTAGTGAAGAAGTGAGCAACTGTATTCCACATGTCCAACGAGGTAATTTTCCATCCCCGCTCATAGTATGGTTGTGAGTTTCTTATTGGGGCTTAACAGAGGTACATTTTTGTGAGAAAGGTGTAAAAATGAATGCAGTTGTGTATCAAAATACAGTCCTGACGAACCTTGTGGAACCTGTTTCCCATACCATGTTCAATAACAGGCACTGGGTATTCCAACAAGATTCGGCGCCAGCTCATAGAGCGAAGAGCACACAAGACTGGCTGGCGGCGCGTGAAATCGACTTCATCCGGCACAAAGACTGGCCCTCCTCCAGTCCAGATTTGAATCCGTTAGATTCCAAGATATGGCAACACTTGGAGGAAAAGGCGTGCTCAAAGCCTCATCCCAATTTGGAGTCACTCAAGACATCCTTGATTAAGGCAGCCGCCGATATTGACATAGACCTCGTTCGTGCTGCGATAGACGACTGGCCGCACAGATTGAAGGCCTGTATTCAAAATCACAGAGGTCATTTTGAATAAACTTTAGTGTCATAAGAATCTATGTTTTGTTAAGTTCATTTTGGTATATAAATGGTTACATAATGAATAAACTTGTTTCAATTATTTTATATTAAACATGTGACAGAATTTATGACCTGACTAGGTACTTAATTGAATAAAATCAATTTCTTGAACTCCTTAACAAGGTAGATAAAACAAATAACATCATCCTTTAGTAGATAACATGCCAGTGCTTTTAGACGCAATGATGCTGCACACAACAGCCCACAGCAGCTCAGTTCATAGGACAATTGGACCAGAATCTATCCACTTTTCAAAATTCTGCTTTGTTTAAACAAATCTCAAATTTGTACTATTACAACAGCTCTAATTTGGCATAAAACATTACACATAAACCTGTTATATCTCTGTGCAGAGCCTGCATAGAGTGCAAAGACATTGTGGCTCACATCTTATTGGAATTTTCTACGGTCACTAGTTCCAGGGCTGACCCTTGGGATTTTTGGTGACAACAGAAAATTGTTAGCCAAGAACTAGGATGGCTCGAATAGCATGAATTCCAACCTACATGTAAAATATATGTTGAGTTGTAGAGTTGCAGGGACCAGCCCGTGTAACATGAACATTAATACTCTTTAATTTTTACGCATTACTTCACTAAATGCTGATCTATGAAGATCAAATACTTTGGATAATGACTCATTAATAAGTACTGTGCTAACTTCAAGGCCATTTCTGACTCATACTTGATATTGTATATTATGCTTAATAAGCAAATGTGATAGTGATTTGGCTGAAGAAATACCTATTAATTTTATTTTACATATTAGAAATTAGATGTAATTAATTTAAATATGTGTACTAAATAAAAGAACAAGATTTTTTTCATACCTTTTTAAAAAATCTATAGATGATAGACAGGACATCCATATTATCCTCACTGCTTACAGGCAAGGCAAATTTGCTGTTTTCTGCCATTTTATTGTTAGCCTACAATTAAATAATTAAAATATTTATATTACTAATTAATTAAAACATTTGTATTACTAAAATTAACAATAGTTTCATTCAAAAATATTTGTGAGCAAAAATTCGAAAGATCTAAACAATGATGGGACTAATAATTTATTATCACTTAATAATAGATTTCTATATGTATTTTAAACTTATGAGCCTTTTGCAAGCCTTTCTTTTTACCAAGAATTAAAAACTACAATAACTTTTTAGTTTGAACTCTGCCAGGAGTAGGTACTTACAACCACTTACAACTATGGGTAATGGGTATATATTATAATATGTCACATTTATTTATAGATTTTTTTGAGAGAGGGATAGAAACAAGTCAAGGAAATATCCTTTTAAATTATAATATAAATGTACAATACAACGTACCATGCTTTAGGACAACTGGCATTCGAGGCATCAATAAATATATATGTAGCAAGCTACACTATTATTCCTGGCAGAGCTATAAAGTGTAATCGAATAAAAAAAACACAAACCAGCAAGTCAGCAGGACAACGTTTTAACTGGTTTAATTTGACCGCTCCAAACTAGGCTAAGTACCTATATAGGTACATTATAAATAAAGTTACCTACTCTGCTAGTACTAAGCACAGAATACTTTACTCCTAGCGGAGACTAAGCTACTAAGTATGTCATGTCAATCGTTTTTTTTTTATAGGAGAGGGGGCAAACGAGCATACGGCTCACCCGATGGTAATTGACTACCTGTATAGCCGCCCATAGACAACTGCACCACCATGGGAATTGCAGTTGCAGGTCCGTTGCCGGCCTTTCAGACAGGAGTAAGCTCTTTTCTTGAAGGTCTTTAAGTCGTATCGGTCCGGAAAATTCACCGGTGGTAAACTATTCTACAGAGAGGTCGTACACGGAAGAAAATTCCTAGTGAAACGTACAATAGTGGACCGCCAAGCATCCAGACGGTGTGTATGGTATCGAGAGTTTTGCCGCGATGTGCATTCTTGAAATTTGGCCGCTGGAATTAATCCGAACAATACCTCAGAGCACTCCCCGTGGTAGGTGCAAAAGAAAATTTAAAGGGATGGAACATCTCTCCGCACCGCTAGTGAATTGAGCCTATTGGAAAGGACTCGGTCGTCGACGATTCGAGCCGCTCTGCACTGGATGCGGTCAAGAGAAAGGAGCTGGCACTGAGGAGCCCCAGCCAAGAGATGGGAACAGTATTCCATATGAGGCCGAACCTGCGCCTTGTAAAGTTGCAGGCGGTGTGCCGGCATGAAATACTGTCCCGCTCTGCTGAGTAGGCCAAGCTTTTTAGAGGTCAATTTGGCCTTCGCTTCCAAGTGACCACGAAACTGCACGTCACTCGATATGAAGACGCCGAGAATTTCGATACTGGCTTAGGCAACAAGGGGAGTGCCATGAAACTAAGGAGATACGACAAAGGGGTTCTTTTTAGCAAATGCGCAAACTTGTATCTTCTGAAGATTAAACTGGATTAGATTTAGTCGCCTCCAATCCGAAACTTTGTTCAGCGAAAACTCGACTTCAGACACAAGTTTGTTCCGGAGAAATATTGGCACGGCCGGTGTATAGAGCATCACCAGTGCTGTTATCACAAACTAATAAGAAGTGCTAGCGCAAAGTACTGTCATCCTTCTGTACTTTACTTAGTAGGCGGATACTGACCTGCTGCCGCAGGGCCAATCTAGGGAGCACAGTGATCGAAGCAATATCGGAGCTGTCTCTACACACACAACTGCCGTTCAGTATGAGAGTGTACGTCTCGCTGGACGCACACGTTGGGAATGGCGCCAGTTTTATCGAAATATCAATAAATCAGTATATATAGTCTTGGCTCTTTTTTATATAGAATAAGGGTGACAAATGAGCACAGTCCACCTGATGGTAAGTGGACACTGTGGCCTATAGACACCTACATTTATCAATAAAACAACCAATTAATTAATAATTGCAACCATAATATAGTGCTTAGAAGTTGCAGCATAGCTCTGCCACGCTATTTTTAGGCTATCAAAGACAATTAAATATGACTAACTTTACTCGTCATAATTTAATATAACCAATTTATTCTGTGATATAACTTAACTATCTAGTGCTTAGTAACTATAATTTAACTAGTGTTACAAATAACCAGGATAGTTTTCTAATGATGGTTTCAATAAAATTTAATTACTAAAATTTGTATTTTTATTTAAATATTTATATAATGACATTTTATTTATATTCCAGCAATTTTAATATTATTTGAATATTTATGATAAGTTAGGTAACAAATCCCAGTAATGTTACTTGTAAGTTACAACGTTCAAATAACATTCTTTCTGCGGGTCTGACTTGTACTCATACGTGTGCTCCGCGCGAAAGTCGCAACAAACTGATTGAAATTGCTCCAATTGGGCTACACACGCGAAAGCGGCAGGGCCAATATAGGGAGCAAGGAAGGTCTTGCGCTCCTCTCCTGCCGCTCTGCCGCAGAGCCGACTTAAAAAATTGCCCCTGCTTGCCTACACACATCACAATTAAGGAGGCAATTAAGGGTCATCCCCACTCCTACACCCTAGATTGCCTCTGCGGCAGCCATGTCAGTAGGCGCCTTATCTTGCAGTATTGTTATCGCAAGAATCGTCTTTTTTGCCATATTTTAAGGAAAAAAAAAACTAAATTTCCGTATTAAATCATTTAGTTAAAAGCATGGAAATACATGTACTTCGTACAAACTGGAACCCGCACTTTTGAATGACATAAAAAATACAAGAAAACGACCTTGAAATTTTTCATTACCCCTCAGTCTCTTTCTAATTAGGGTGAACACAAAATACAAGAATTTGGGATATTATGGGGGAAAATCAGTTTATTTTTATTTCATTTATAAAATTTTAATTTAATTGAAAGTAGAGTTCCACTGAAACGCATGATATTAGAGAAATTCATAAGGTCGAGCCTGCGGGCGGAAGTTTATTAATTAATATTATTTATTCGTGTACTTTTTTGTCAATAAACGAATAAACGAGTGAATTGGCTCTATATACAAAACTTTAACTAAAACTAAAATATTTTGTCTGAAAATGAACAAAAAATTCGATTTCCCATACAAAATGTATCGGTCACGTGACCAATTTTGTATGGGAAGTCAATTTTTTTTTATTTCCACAAAGAAAATTCTTCAGTACCTTACTCAGGATGATGATTCATGGTTAAAGTTTTCGGGAGACTGTCTTTACATCTCTTATAATGTAACATTAGGAAATAATAAAACTAAAATAATAATCGTTTTTATTTACATTTATTATTACAATAGCAATAGTGTCTACAAATTTAAAATATACAATAATAATAATTAGAGGTGAAGGTTTTTACAACAACTCAATTTTTATACATGATTGAATAGTTTTGTGAAGTTTTTGTCACTTGGTACGAATAGCACTCAACTTTTAGTACATAATTTTTTTTAGATGCGTTCTGAGACACATGGTCAAAAAAGAGTTTGAAATTCACAGCAACCATTTACCATCAGGTGGACTGTGTGCTCATTTGTCACCCTATCCTATAAAACAAAATTTAAAATTCTGGATTAATCAAATTAAGAGCAATTAATACTGTCATCCATAGGCTAGTTTTTTGTTATAGAATAAGGATGACAAACGAGCACACAGTCCAACTGATGGTAAGTGGTTGCTGCGGCCTATATTTATTTATTATTTATTGTGCGATCAAAAGACATTTACATCTATCCTCTATTACAAATCAAAATGCATCAGAATGCCTCTTTTCCAGTAAAAAGGGTCTCCGGTTCTCTACACTCACCATACGAAACACAACAGCGTTAAACTGCTATTTTACGCTGGCATTCTGTGAGAGCGTGGTCCTTCCCCGGTCGAGCCGACCTATTCGTACTACAACTATACTACTAATATAGCTGCAGCATGGCTCTACCACGTATAGAATACACTATAGAATACGTATAAATAAAACATTGGTCATGACTGTGGTGTGAAGTGATGAATAATAATATTGATTAATACATTTTTAATATAGTTGTACTGTATCATCAGTATTTGAGATCGGGTTTGGATCAGATAAAAAGCTCTACAATGCAATTAAAGAAGGCCAAAGAGCGTCTTAAGGTCTAAGGTCAACGTTTGGCAAAGTTGCATATTGTTTAATAAACTTGTACGCTTTTGACGAGTAAAATGTAATGTTAATAATTAGTTCTTCTTTTTGTGATAAATTAATCATTGCTTGCACACTTATCAGCGCAAAATATTTGAATGGAGGAAGTGCTTTTGTCCATAACCTGAAAGAGTAAAAAGCTCTTACAACGAATATTTTTATAATGGACTAGTTAGTTGTGAAAATGCTATAGTCAGAACCAAAATCACAATTGAACTTTAAAAAAATGAAACACTGAAAAAATTTAGACATATTATGTAGTTAACAATTTAATAGACCAACAAACCATGCCGATATAATTAAAATGTCATTACTATTTTGGTTTATTTAAAGGATAAGGGTGACAAACGAGCACACAGTCCACCTGATGGTAATTGGTTGCTGTGACCCTTAGACATCTACATTTATCCTCGATTACGAATCAAAATGCAGATGCGTTATCACCCGTGAGGACTAAGATGGAATGCCTCGTTTCCAGTAAAAAGGGTCTCCGGTCTCTACACTCACCATATGAAACACAGCAGCATTAAGCTGCTATTTTACGCTGGTATTCTGTGAGAGCGTGGTCCTTCCCCGGTCGAGCTGATCCATTCGCGTTACAACTATACCAGAAATATAGCTGCAGCATGGCTCTACTACGTATAATTTGTCATGAACACTTTATTTTTCAATTTGTCACACTTATCGTACAATTTATCAAAAAAAAAAATGGATTTCCTGAGACCGCAATTTGAAATTTTAAAAATTAAATACGATTAAAAACTTAGCAAAATATGTACAAAATAGCTTGTAATTATTTT